AAAAAAAAAACAAAAAAAAAAAAAAAAAAAAAAAAATTCTTCCAGAAGACTGTAGTTAGGATCCCAGCACCTATTTCAAGCAGAGCAACTACCTGTACAGGGGTACAATGTCTCTGACCTCTGAAAACACCTACAATCACAAACATATATCCACATGTGAAATACACACACACACACACACACACACACACACTCCTATACATCATTAAAAAAAAAAATAAGTAGTTAGGATCCCAGCAACTATTTCAAGCAGAGCAACCACCTGTACAGGGGTACAATGTCTCTGACCTCTGAAAACACCTACAATCACAAACATATATCCACATGTGAAATACACACACACACACATACACACACACACACTCCTATACATCATTAAAAAAAATAAGACTTTTTTAAAAAAAGGAATTTACCCAGACAAAATGCTTAGGTTTGGCAAATCAAGGAGTTTGTCTCCTGGAGATCCTGGGAAATCTGAACGGGCGGTAAAAGAAGCGTTTCTCTCCAAAAGTAGGTGTAACATCTTCCTTTGACTGGACCTAAAACTGGGTACTGAAACAGAACGTTCCTCTTCTCTTGCAGGTGGAAAGGGTCCTGTAGACATGACTTCCAAGTCTTCACCAAGGGAGGAGGGTTATCTAAGAGAAGAACACTCCAGATGTTCAACTTTTTCAAGCTCTCCGCCCTTTCCAGAGCCCGCCTAAGCCCGGTGGAAGAGCAACCCCAAATGATAGAGTCTAACGCAGCTGGAATGTCACACTGCAGTTGCTCAGAGAAAATTGGCTTGATCCAAATCATCCAGTTTCACAGTCTTGACCAGAAAAAAAAATTAATCTAACTAATGCGATAAGGCTTTTGGGACCTCTGGTCCCGAAAGAATCCTGCAGGGACAATCGGGTTTCCGAGATTCCCGAACGGACACAGCTCTCCGCTTACCTTAAGTAGAGGCTGACTTAAATTTGGAGAACCTCCTGCAGGACTGGACCGAAGCGAAGATTCCACAGGATGACAAGGAATCTGAGGAACAGAAGCGTTTCTTCGGGTTAAAATTGTATCTCTGTAACTAGAGGTCCAGCTTTGCAGCTTCTCTCCGGAACTGGCAGAAGGACAAGACCAACAGACATAGGCCAGTCCATTCAAACCTTCCGCTCTCTCAACAACCTATCACCGCCCGCCTGCCTGCACCGTCAGCCAATCAGCATTCCAGACCATGACCCCGCCCTCTGACCAATCACTAGGCTCGTGTCTCTCCGGCACACAGAGAGCCTGATGCACATTGGCTCTCCCTCTGGCCAATCGCCACACCCTTCCAGTACTCAGTTCCCGCAACCCCAGCAACCCGGGAGATTTAAATAGAGCCCCACTAATGATGATGGTCTGGAGGAACTGTTTTTGAGTTGGAAGTGTTTCCTTCTGTTACTTTCTTGCGTTGTTTCTCTTGACTTTTGTTAGCTTTCGGCTGGAAATGGAGCATTTGTCGCCAGCGTGGCAGTTGTTGGGGCATGACAGGTGTGTGGTTGATGCTGAGTCGCCGCTGACCACTTCCAAGACGTTTTCTGGGTAGAAATTCCTGTTTAGGGAGAATAGAGAAATTAAACCTTTTGACGTAATCCTTACGACATTCTAAAGGATCTTAACCTTTACTTATTTATGTAGATTCGACCATTGACAAGATGATGTTTATATGTAGGGAGAGGGGTGGTTTCATGACTGTGACCCAGCATTTGAGAGACTGAGATAAGATCGTCGTGATTTGAGGACGGCCTGCACTGCACAGCCAGCTCCAGATCACCCTGGGCTAGAGTGGCCTTTCTAGAAGGAGGAGAGGGCTGGCGAAGATTATTATATTAGTAGTGGTGGTAGAGGTGAGGATAGGACTGGAAGGAACGGAACCAGAGCCTTGGGAATGCTAGACAAGTACTGTCGTTTAGCTGCTACTCCCCGGTAACAGCTTTTAGATTTTGTTGTTGTTGTTGTTTTTGTTTTTTGTTTTGTCGAGATAGGGTTTCTCCGTGTAACAGTTCTGGCTTCCTTGGAACTCGCTTTGTAGACCAGGATGACCTCAAACTCACAGAGCTCCATCTGCTTCTGCCTCTCCATGCTGCGATTAAAGGCATGTGCCATCACTGCCTGATTTCAATTTCTTTTATTTTTAATTGTGTGTGTATGTATGCGTGAGTGACTGTGTGTGGGGGTAAGAATTTGTGCCAGTTGGGAGGTCAGAGGCTATCCCTCAGAGCTGGAGTTATTGACAGTTGTAAGCTGCCCAACATGGGTGCTGGGAACCAAATTCAATTTCTCTGCAAGAGCTATATATCTCTTAACTGCCGAACCATCTCTCCAGCCCCTGAGCCCAAGAAGTTCTTATGTTGGTCTTTTTTATTTTCTTCAAATCTTTTGAGAGCGAGCGTGAGTATAGATTAGATAATTGACCGTGAGTGTGGGGGTGATGACTGGGTGGGAAATTTTAGTTAACATACATAACTAACCACCTGGAGATCCTGAGAAACTGGATTCTGATTCAGTAGGTCGGGGTATGAGACCAAAATTTCTACATTCATAACAAATTCTCAGTTGATGATGATGCCTCTGACCCCAGGACCATACTCTTAAGTAACAAAGCATTATGCTATGCTTTTTGTGTGTTGTTTAGCCTAAATTTGTCTTCAGCTTGAAATCCTTCCGCCTCAACCACTTGGATTCTAAGATTACAGGTGTGTGATACCATACCCATCCAGTTTCCTATACTCTGCTTCAGAATAAATGTGAATATTTTCTTGTCTGTCTTGTTGTTTTGTTTTTGTTTTTTGAGACAGGGTTTCTCTGTAGCTTTGGAGCCTGTCCTTAAACTAGCTCTTGTAGACCAGGCTGGCCTTAAACTCACAAAGATCCGCCTGCCTCTCCCTCCCAAGTGGTGGGATTAAAGGTGTGCGCCACCACTGCCTGGTTCTTGTCTTTCTTTTTTATAATTTATTTATTTTGATTTCATGTGCATTCATGTTTTCCCGCATGTAAATCTGCATGAAGGTGTCAGATCCCCTGCCATGTGGGTGCTGGGAATTGAACCCAGGTCTTCTGGAAGAGCAGCCAGTGCTCTTAACCATTGAGCCATCTCTCCAGCCATTTTTTTTTCCTCTTCTTTTTAATGGGTAGTTGAGGCAAGGTCTTAACCTCAAACTCATGATTCTCCTGCCTTAACCACCTAAATTCTGGGACTGCAGGCATGTGTCACCACACCTCTCTTGAAATTTTTTGTAATTAATTTTTTTTAAAGATAGATATGGTAATGTCCATTTGTGATCCCAGCTCTGCAGAGGATTAAGAAGAATTACTAGTCTTCACTACTTAATGAGACCTAGTATCAAAGAAAATGGGGGGGAACTTGGTGGTGAGAGCTTGTAGTCAAAGCCCTTTAGAGGCTGAGGCTGGAGGATCACAAGTTCAATGCTACCTGGGCTACCAAGTAAAATGATGTCTCAAAAACAAAGGACATGTTTTAATATAAAACCGTAGGAACTATTTTAGATGCAGGTCAGTAGATCTATAGAGTATGGCCCAGGAATGCTCAAGGCTGTCAGGTACTACTCATGCCAACAGCAGGCCACTTTTTGAGAAAAGTCAGAAAAATAACCTTTAAAGCTGGACTTGAGGACTAGAGAAATGTCTCCGTGGATAAAGTGTTTGCAGACCAAGCTTAGGACCAGATTTGGATTCCTAGAACCCACATAAATGCTGGTTAGCACGATGGCCTGCCTGTTATCTTAGCCTTCTGGAGGCAGAGGCACTTGGAGCAAGCTGGCTAGTTAGACTAGCCAAATCTGTGAGCTCTGGGTTCAAATGAGAGACCCTACTTCAATGTACAAGGTGAGGACTAAGAGACCTGCCTTCAGTCTCTGACCTAACGCACATGTACATATGCATCCACACATGTGAACAGGTGTACACATACACACCCCACACACATGAAAAAGAAACTGGGCTTGCTGGTGCACACTTTTAATTCCAGCACTCAGGAGACAGAGGCAGAGGGATCTCTGAGTTCGAGGCCAACCTTAGTCTACAGAGTGAGTTCCAAGACAGGCTCCAAAGCCACACAGAGAAACCCTGTCTTGAAAACCAAAACCCAAAACAAAAATGAAAACAGAAAATAAACAAAAATCTATAACCTTCATCTCCTATGAGAATCTTGGTGGTGATGGTGGATGAGAGATGCAGGATATTTTTTATCTGCAGAAACTGCTTCCCCAGAGAGGAGGTGTGTGGAAAGTTTTTGTCCTCTAGGATAGAGATGCTAAGTGTGGGAGTCATCACAGAGCCCTGTCATGCCAGGTAAGTTGAAAAATAGCCTGGGGTTTAAGGGAGTGTGAGGTGTCCTTATTTCTGCTTTGATGGCCATCGTCATACCTTTCAAGGCACTGCATGCACTTCCCTGCAGGTGGGAAGTTGAGATGAGGCGGTCCTGCAGAGGCGGCAGAAGCAGATAGACTACGGCAAGTGCACACCTGGTTACCAGTGCTTTCTGCAGCAGGTCCCCAGGTGAGTGCAACTGGGGGCGCTTACAGCCAGAATGTCAACCAGATGGCTGTAGCTCATGGTCGAGTGATAGAAAGATCACTGGCAGCTGAGTGCTCTAGCAGAGGTGAAAAATGACCAATTCTCCCACAATCTAGTTGCCCAAAATAAGTGTGAGATTTCTCTCAAGTAGAAAAAGCCTTAACCCAGAAGACTTTCAAAGCTTGTCCGTTTCTTGCTTCTAAAGTCTTTGTTGTGTTCTGTTTTTAATCATTTTTCAAAAAGATTTATTACGTACACAATGTGCCTCCTGCATGTACACCTCCATGCCAGAAGAGGGTACCAGACCTCATTACAGATGGTTGTGAGCCACCATGTGGTTGCCGGGAATTGAACTCAGGACCTTCAGAAGAGCAGGCAATGCTCTTAACCACTGAGCCATCTCTCCAGCCCCTATAGTTCCCTTTCTATTTTAATCTCTCTCTCTCTCTGTCTATCTCTGTGTCTGTCTGTCTGTCTGTCTGTCTGTCTCTCTCTCTCTCTCTCACACACACACACAATGTGAAATGCATCAAAAAGTTGGATCTCATCCTTAATTTGGGACCAGCTTAAGCTTCTGTATAATTCTAATTTTAGTATGTGTGCTTGCTGAAATGGGCGTTATTCCCTGCCCCTCCCTCTGTGTCTCTTAGTCTCATGTAGCCTAGGCTAGCTTCAAACTCACTGTGTAGTCAGTCAATAATGACACTGAAATTCTGATCCTCCTGCTCCACCTCTAAGTGCTAAGATTTCAGGATTCTAGGTATGTTACACCAGGCCTGGTCCCACTGTATTTGCTGGAATGGAGTATTATCCTGCCCTTGGGTAATCCCTGTCTAGGCCTCTGATTCACAGGTAAGTAGTGGGCAGCATCCCTTTCCTTTGACCTCAATCTGACCCATGTTTGTTGTTGCCAGGGCACAGCGACAGCTTGGGTTTCACCCTCAAACACCAAACAAAAACAGGAGGTACAGTTGCCGATCCTGGGATGCCCAGATCAGGCAATGGAGAAGAGCCCTGCATACCTGGGACCCCACAAGCCAGCCTCTGCATGACAGGGAGGCTTTGGGGTGTGTTCACTAATCTGGCTCCTTCTATGAGTGGTGTAGGATGAGCCCTACTTTCTCCACTTTGCAAGATTTAGGTTTTGTTGGGTAGAAGTTGGGGTTATCTGCATGAGTGCATGTTCTCTCACTCCGCTGCCTCTCTAGGAAGGCAACTAAAAACTTCCTAAGGCCAGTGGATTCTGCTCCTTTGGATGATCTCCTGGATGACTGGCTCCAGGCCCCAGAATACTCAGAAAATTGGGACAGAGGCCAGAAAGAGGCCCAGGTAGTGTCCTCTGCCAAAAACCACTGGATTAGGGAACTAGATGGGGTCTGACCTATGAGGGCACAGGGTAGAGTCCAAAAGAGCTGGGGGTTGGAGATAGAGGGTGTGGCCTTCCATGCATAGGGCCTTGAGTTTCATCCCTTTCACCACAAATAGAACAAAGGGAATTGGGCGTGTTGGCAACCCCTGTAATCCCAGCACTAGGAAGGGAAAAGCAAAGGACCAGGAATTGTTTATTTCTGTCATTTAAAACTTGATTTGTATGAAACATTTAAGATTTCGTTATTACAGAAATTAACAGTAGGATCAGGAGGTTAAGGCCAGCCTCGGCTACATTATATCCTGTTGCCAAACAAAAACAAGACTCACAAGCAAGCAAGCAAACAAAAACATCAACAAGGCAATCAAAAACACCCTTGAAAATTGAAGCAGGCATAGGTATGGGCAGTGTTGGCTCTACGAGTAGGCAATCTTAGGCCACACTGAAACACGGTGTGCCCTTCCTTTCAAATGAGTTTTTTTTAATTTTTTATTATTTCATGTGCATTAGAGCTTTGTCTGCATGTATATCTGTGTGAGGGTGTGGGATACTCTGAAACTGGAATTACAGGCAGGAATGAGCTGCCATGTGGGTGCTGGGAATTGAACCTGGGTCCTCAGCATGAACAGCTAGTTCTCTTAACCACTGAGCCATCTCTCTCGCCCCTCACATGAGTTCTTATGCCTGACTTGCAGTGGTTTTAAATTTAGTTTTGCAATTTTCTTTTGCCCTGCAGTATTGAGCTATATGTCCTTAAGGTTACTTTAATCTCCTTCTTTCCTTCCTTCCTTTTTAATTTTATTTATTTAGTTATTCATTTGTTGGTGAGAGGGAGGTGAGACAGCATCTTACTCTGTAGTCCAGGTTGACCTAGAATTCGCTATGTAACCCAGGGTGGCCCGGAGTTTATAGTAATCCTCCTGCTTCTCTCAAGGGTTCGGATTGTAAATTTTAATCTGACTCAGTTTCTATGGTTTGAAAATACGCACTTAACTTTCACACAGCCGTTTAACGTTAGTAGACATATTAGTAATAGCAAGGTGTTACTGGGTATAGTGGTCCATGTCCATAATCTCAGTACTGGTGAGGCTGAGGCAGGGGGATCTCAGGGAATTGTAGTCTAGTTTAGTCTACATAGTAAGTTCCAGGACAGCCAGATGTTCACAGTGAGATCATATCTCAAAACAAAACAACAACAACAACAACCGAAACAAACAAGGAGTTGGAGTCTCAGGTTTTGATTAACCTCACCTACTACTTGGCAGCCATTTAACCTTTCAGGTGGTTCTGTTGTTGACTTTTTAAATATGGTGATTGAAAGGAAAATGATAATAAATATATTTACTTAAACCACATAGTGCAAGCTAGGCAGTGGTGGCGCACGCCTTTAATCCCCGTACTTGGGAGGCAGAGGCCAAGTGATCTCTTGTGAGTTTGGGGCCAGTCTGGTCTACAGAGTGAGTTCCAGGACAGCCAGTGCTACCCAAAGAGACCCTGTTTCCAAAAATCAAAACCAAAACAAAAAATATATATTGCAACTAGACATGGAGGTCCGTGTCTGTAATCCTAGCATCTGGGAGGCTGAGGCAGGAAGAACAGAGTTTAAGGATATTCTTAGCTACACAGTGAGTTTGAGGCCAGCAGGAGCTGCATAAAAGCTTGTCTCAAAAACAAGTAAGTAGCACAGTGCAATTGCTGGGAACCATGGCTCCCATATGCTTTGTCAAATGTACAATGCAAAGTGAATCTCCACCCTCCCCTTCCTATATTTTATTTGGTACCTGAAATGTGGAGCAGGCTAGGCTCTGCCTCCCAAGTGCTGGGATTTTACACGTGTGCCACCACACCTGACTTTCCACCTCCACTCTTTAATACTTCTTTTTTTCATTCTTTTTCAGTCTGCATACTTGAAGGGTCCTGTTTCCTCCCCTCCCAAGCTCAAAGAGGAAGAGCTTCACCACCGAATCTACTGCTATTTACCTATCCCAGACGTGCAGGGTGCAAACTAAAGAAAACCCATGTTTTGTAGGGACTCGCTGCTACTACTGTCCTAGACAAGTGACTGGAATGACCACTTTCCCACCAATTAAGAAGGACACCTAAAACTACGACCTACTAGTGATCACAGCACAGTGGCATTTATTGAAAACTTTTTAGTCAGCTGAGACTCCAATTTACAGAAGAGACAGGAACCTGTATGGTGGTTTGACGCCCCCCGCCCCCATATCAACATTCAGTTCTTGAAAGAGGACTTAAAACTTTGGCTGAGGTGGGAGATGGTGGTGGTGGTGGTGGAGACTTAATAAAAAGGTGGTTTCCAGTTCCTGAAGAGGAAATACAGTACTGTCGACATCGGTTCCTCATATGCCAGCTTCCTCCCTCTCTGTCTTAAGTGGTTCAGCCATAACCACCGTGCTCCCCCTACACACACACACACCCGCAACTGAACCACCTATGATGTCATAATCACAATCCCATTACCTCATCCCGCCGAGGGGGGGCGGGATGAGGCGGATAGGGAAGGGAGGGAGGGAACAGCCTCGGGGCCGCCTCAGCTTTACAAAGTATTTTGGGGGAGGACAAATTATAGAATAAGACACAGTCCCGCAACCGTTATAAATCCCAAATTTATAAAGGTTCCAGCAGATCCGCAGCTAGAAGAGGGGCTCCAGGGGCTCAGAGCAGGCCCTGATCGGCGCTTGGACTACATTTCCCGGCAGCCTTCACACCAAGGATCGGTCCTTTGACAGGGGAAGGGGGGGGATGCTTACAGAAAGGTGGCTGTTTCGGGAGGGACAGGAGACCAGGTGAGAAGGCTGTGTCTAATACTGCTTCGGGGTCTGAGTTAAGTAAGACAGTTCAGTTGGGGAGATGAAGAAATGGGAGGAGTGGACAATGGCTTTGTTTACCTTTATCCGACATGGCTTCCCCTACGGGCTTCAGGATATGCTTCCAACTGGGCCCGTCCACTTTCTGCAATATTTTGGAGGGGGTGATTCGTTAGTGAGGAAACCATCGCGTCCCCAAATCACAGCTCTAGGCTCCTTTCCGACGGCACTATTCTGGAAAGGCTTAAGGGAGAAACCACATAGGGCTCGGGCCTCTTCGGGCGGTACCGGGAGAGTCTGCGAACAGGAGCGATCCCCCACTCTCCTCACGGGCCCGTTGGTTCGTGCTAGCGCCTTTTAAGGGCACCGTGGGGCGAACGGAGCGCTCAGAGCTGCTCCGGCCGCGGCCCTGGGAGCTGGAGGAGCCGCGGTAGGTAGCGGAGGGCAGGTGGTGCTGGGGCCTCGGGGCGGGCACCGCGACCGTACCTCCCTCTCTCCCCTCCCCCAGTCCAGCCGCTGGTGCGGCCGAGCCTCGCAGGGCCGCCTCGGCGGGAGAGCACGGGACCCGGTGGGGGAGGGGGTGGCGGAGTGCATGTCCCAGACCCTCCCCATCCTCTGCGTCCTGAGTTCGCTTCCCGCGGTCAGATGGGGAACCCGACTGGAAAAAGGAGAGCGACAGTCCCCCTGAGCAAACCCTGGAGTGCCCCCCCCACCCCGGGAGCCAGTAGATGCCCCATGCCCCACCCCGTGGGGACAGGCAGGGCAACTGAGGGAGAGGTTGAAGATTAGAGGGAGCCTAGCCGTTTGCTCTTTCGTCGTGGTGGGGGGATGGGTGCACCCCACTTGTCACCCCTATCTTCACCAGAGCCATATGGAAGAAGAGCAGTCTGATACCCATTTACCTTTTCCTGCACCTCCCCGCCTCGCTTATGTTTTCTTTCAGTATCTCCCAGAGGTTTGGGACTGGGACCTGGGGGGGGGGATGCCCCCAGGGAATTTATGACTTTCTTTTCCCCTGGCCTGACTGCTAGCTTGTCCAGGTTTCAGCACATCCTCAGTATCCCTGAAACGCAAGTGTCAGGGGTTACTTCCATCCAACAGGGGAGGAGGGTCAGTCGTTATCTTAGGGGGCTTGTGGTGTGGGGAGATCCTGGGTTGAGAGTTAGGCCTGGTGGGGTTGCTGGGAGGGCCGTGCGGCCTGCTGCTCAGTGAAGGGCTGAGCCTTGTGCCAGTAATGTTAAGCTGAGAAAGAAGTTTTAACTTGTTTAGTGTATGTCGAGAGCTGTCTACCCTTCAGATCTACAAAATGGAAGGGGAAGGAAGGCCGCCAGAGAGGCCTTCTCACACTTTTTTTTAAATGTCTGCTTGAGAACGAGAAGGCCCCTTGCAGAGCTGGTTTGCCTTCTTTTGTGTCCTGGTTTGATTCCTTATGGCTTCCGTTCTGTTCCCCCTCTCAGCCTGGCCTGTTTTAGGAAACTCGGGCTCAGAGTATCATTTGCGTGGTGGTAGTTGCATTGTTCCAATTACCGCTGTGTGTGGCCACATCCCAACAATTAAAATGCAGAAAAATAGAAAATCACTCTCTTCAGCTGCTTCTAGAGAGGGCTGGGAGTTTGCTGCTTGTCCAAATGCCTCATGAAAAGCTTCAAAGGTTTCTCACTCCCTGCTCCTTATGTCTGGTCAGCCTGGGGTCTCTAGGATAAAAGTCTCCACTTAGGTTGCCTTGTTGATTTTTGAGGGCAGAGCTAAGAAAATAGGAGCAGAAGTGATTCCGGCTTTGGCGTCTCCCACCAGAACACAGGGGAAGCAGCTGAAGCATTTCGCAGGAAGCTGGAACTTTGTTCAGAGTGGTAGTACTAATTATGTGTGGAAATGATAGTTAACTAGAGCGGTGATTGACTTCTGCACCTCTCTTCCAAAGACCTCCAAATACATCCTAGGGGGCTTTGCTTTCTTTGTTGCCTTTTTCTGAGGTGACACCCTCTTTTTTTTGTAGGGGTGGTGTCCCCCACCCCCAAGGTCACAGGAGGAAGAGCCCGACCCCTTAGGCTCTTCCCTAGTGAACAAGAGGGAGGATGGCGTCCAGCCAGAGATAGACCCTGTAGCTTTCTTCATCTTAATATCACCACTTCGGGCATGCCAAGGCTTTTGAGGAGCAGCAAACAGGAGCCATAAGAAACAAGAGCCTATGTGAACTTCTACCTTTTATAGGCCAGTTGTTAAGGTATTGTACAGTTGGATATTTCATGTAGCCTCGTTCCTGTGATAGAATAAGATTGTTATACCCATCTTGCATATGGGTAAGCGGGACTGTTACATGGTCAGCCAAAACTGAGCAAATTGAATTAAGACTTGGTGGTGGTGGCGGCAGCTTTTTCTCTTTGTGTTGTAGACAGGTTTGTAGCCCAGGCTTGCCTTGATGAGCTCTCGTGTTCCTGCTTTTACCTCCCAAGTGCTGGGATCCCGGGTGTGTGCTCAGGACTTAGATTTCTTGGTTAATTGTTCTCTGTACTAGTTAATCCTCAGCGTACTCTGGTCTGCATGTTGGTTAGTTATGGAAGAGGTAGAAGAAAAGATGTTGTTGACCTCCCTCTGAGCAAGCCAAGGCCGCTCAGGTAGTAATGTGTGGGATTTTGAAGCTTGCTCTTTGATTAAAAAAAAAATAGTTTGCTTCAGTCATAAGGAAGATTCTTGGTTAGCTATATTCATGGCCTTTGATTGGGATCATGAAAAAACTTGGCTGAATGAAGTCATGGAGTTGTTTTTAATATCTGTACAGTTGAAATGTAATCGGAACCACCCTGACCATTCCTTCTCGCTGTGTAAGAGAATACCCACAATATCTTCTGGGGAATAAAGATGGATCAGCTATTTAGGCCATAGGAGGATTCAAAATCATATTCTGATCTGAAGCAGAAGGCCATGCCTTGCTCCTCTCCCTGCACTGAGCCCCGGTTTAGGAGAAGGGTTCCTTTCTTGGTGTCTGGCTGTAAGATAAAGAGAATATTGTGCTGATTCTGTATGGAAATAACCATTTAGGTATCTCTCTCATTTGAGCTGTTTCTTTAGTGGTGCTGATATTCTAGGTAGACACAACAGAGCATAAGCCAGGTTAGGAACAGTAAATAGGCTTCAGTTTGCCCTCTCCAGTTTATTTTACTGGATATCTAGAGTGCCTAGTTCAGTGTGTTTCTGAGGCTTTTTTTAGGCTTGCTGAGAGAGGACTATGATCAATTAATGATGTCTGCCAGAGGCCTGGCATGGGGGTGCTGTGGTATGTGTGCCATGCATTCCCCATCCCTGCATCAGGAGCATCTCTAATGTTACTCGGGGCTGATCCCTCTGTAATTGGCAGACTCAGCAGGCATGACTGGAGAGGGAAGTCCCAATGGTGCTAGCACGGTGCTGCAGTGGCAGACGTCGGCTCACGAGTGAGACCTGGAAGAAAGACAGAGAAGACATCTATCACTTGCTCCGAAGTGTGCAAGTCAAATCCTGGACAAAACATGATAACCCTGATCACTGAGCAGCTACAGAAGCAGACCCTGGATGAGCTGAAATGCACACGCTTCAGCATCAGTCTGGTAAAAGACCAATGTTTCCACTTCTTCATGATCTAGCCCCTTTCCTGGAGGCTGTTTGTTGCTACGGCTTTACCCTTGTTCTGTGTTGTATGAAACATGCTTGTACTGGAAAAGCCCACTAACGGCTCAAAACCAGCCCAAGAGGAAGGGGGCAGGGACATTAAAACTTGGGTGAAAAGGGCTTTGTAATGTTTGAAGGTGTGGATTGTTTCTCACAATAGGAAGAGAACAACACAGGAGTCTAATATGCTGGTAGCTCATGAGCTATAGGAAGAATATAAGAGGTCTCTCTAAAAATGTCCTTGTCCTGAACCCAAATAATGATGGATAATCTCTCTCTTAGCCTTTGCCTGATCATGCAGACATATCCAACTGTGGGAACCCTTTCCAGCTTGTGTCTGGTAAGGAATCTGTGGTTTATATATATGTGTGTTTGTTTGTGCTTCTGTCCACACATTTCTTTGATTAATTTTTAGTGACCAGAGATGGTTAGCCTACCTCTAGTTTTTGTGGTAGCCTAATTGTTTTGTTTTGAGACAGGGTCTTACTCTGTAGACCAGGCTAGCCTTGAAGTCATGGAATCTCCTGCTTTTGCCTCAAGTATTAAAGTATTAGTGTAAAAGAAGTTCTGCCACCACCCCAACTTGGTTTTTTGTTTTTTTTATTTTTGTTTTCATTTGTGTTTGATTCTTTGTTTTCATTTTGTTTGTTTCTTTGTTTTTATTTTTCCTGAAACCGGCTCTCTGTGTAGCTCCGGCTGCCCTGGAACTTACTCTGTGGATCAGGCTGGCCTGGAACTCAGAGTTCCACCTTCCTCTACCTACCAGCTTGTTTTTTGTTTGTTTGTTTTTGTCAAGGCCACCTTCTAAGAGTGCTACTTATCTCTATTTTACTGTCCTGTTTAGATTTGAGGCAGGATCTTCTAGTCCAGGCTGACCTAGAGCTCTTAACAGTCTTGCTTTGGAGTGCTGGGTTATAGGTGTGAGCCTCAATCAGTATAACTTTCCTAATGCAATTGCTTTGAAGAAGTAATACATTTATGTAGTTTAAAAATAGCAAAAATATTATGTTGCTAAAAGTCATTGTCTCCGGTTTCCAATCCATTTAGCTCCTAGTTAGCTCCTAGTTCCTCTCTAAAAGTAACTTCTGAAAGCCGTGCTCTGTGACAGGACATTTGGCCAGTGTATGTGCGGCTCTTCCTTTGTTAAGAACCATATATGGAATGGAGAGGCAACTCCTACCACTATTTGTCATTTTTTTTTACATTTATTTTATAAAGTTTATGCACATGTGTGCTACAGTGTATGGAGGTCAGAGGACAGTTTATAGGAAATCAGTTCTCACCCACCACATGGTCATTAGGCTTGGCCTGAAGCACCTTTACCCTTTGAGCCATCTTGTTGACCTATAAATTTCTTGTTCTCTTTTTTACATTGGGGGAGGGATGGATGGGCTGTGCATGCATGAATGTCGGGTACATATGTGGAGGTGAGGGGACATGCCTCAGGAGTTGGGTTTCTCTACCATGTTGCTTCTAGGGATCAGGGATCCATCTCAAGTCAATAAGATTGACAGCAGCTACCTTTATCTGTTGAGCTTTCTTGCTTGGGCTCTGTTAACTAGTTTCTTGTACACATATCCAACTAGAATTTTTTTTTTCTCTTTTGGTAGTACATGGGATTGAACCTCATGGTAAGACATGCTAAGCAAGCACTCTATACAGGACTGTGTGGATAGAGTTTTTCTGTCCCACCAACTGGCCCCCAAATAACCATACAAAAACTTATGAAGTATAAATGGTTGGCCAATAGCTTAGGCTTGTTACTAACTAGCTCTTACAACTTAACCCATATTTCTTACTTACACTGTACAATGTGGCAGTACCTTTTTTCAGCATGGCATGTTCATCTCCTGCTTCCTCAGCTCTCCATGGCAACTCTTTGACTCTGCTCTTCCCAGCATCCTCTCAGTTTGGCTGTCCCACCTAACCTCTTCCTGCCTAGCTAGCTATTGGCCAGTCAGCTCTTTATTAACAATGAGAGCAGCACCCCTTCACGGAGTACAGGATTATTCCACAGCAGGACTGCATCTCCAACTCTGTTTTGTCTTGATCTTGCTCTGTAGTTGAGGCTGATGTTGATTCCTGATTCTTTGCTCCCACTTCCTGAGTTCTGGGATTACAGGTGTGTGCCTCTATGCCCAGCTCACTTTTTTATCTTGCAAGAGGGCGTTTCTAAATGTCACAGGCTGGCTTTAACTTTATAACCTCCTGCCTCAGCCTCTGGGATTACAGGTCTGTGCCACCAGGCCTAACTCATAATGTCTAATTTTTAAAATTGTACTTACGGAGGAGCAGGGTATGTATACCATGGCCTGTAGAGTTGAATTGGTTCTCTGCTACTTTGTAGATCTCAGGGATGACTCAGGTCATCAGGCTTGCCAGCAAATACCTTTATTCTCTGAGTCCTCTCGTAACACCGAGATATCTATATGCAAGTAGAGGCAAATATAAGTCTATTTGCTTTATTGTTTTTTTGGCACAGAGTTTCTACTAGTCCACGCTTCATTATAGCTTAGTGCAGCTGAGTACCTTTCCCTGTCTGCGCTGAGCGTTTTCCTGTTTTATGTAGTTGTGCGTTACTGCACTGCATGGATCTGTGTTCACTTACCGACTCCCTGTTGATGGAGATTTGGACATTTGCAGCCTTCTACTTTTGGGGCGTGTGTGCATGTATTGTATATGCATGTATGCATGTATGGATACTAAACATGTGCACTGAAGCCCGAGGAGGGTGTCAGATGTTGTGTTCTCTCCCTCTGCCTCACTCCTTTGAGACAGTCTTTCATTTGGAGAGGTAGGCTTGCAGTCAGCAAGCCTCAATGATCCTCCTGTCTCCACCCTACAGACTCAGGGGTGGATGCCTGGCTATTTGTGCTAGGATTAGACTCTAGGGCTCATGCTTACACAGCAAGTGTTCTCACCTACTAGCTACCTCTCCAGACTCATTTTCTATTCTTTACAGAGAACTGTAGTGAATAGCTTTGCCCCAGGTCATGTTTGATATGTAAAAATACATCTGAGATGTAAATTCCTAGAGTAGGAATTAATGTAAGGGCCTGTGATCATGAGCATAGCTAAGACAGCCAGAAGCTCCCGAATCCATGTGGCTGGACTGCTACACATTTCCTTTTCTGGGGGACCTGGCAAGCAGCTACATCCATTTTCTTTCTCTTCCTTAAGCACTTGTTGAAAGCAAGTTATTATGCCATAAGGATCCACTATTCCTGCCTTATGAAGTTCAGTAAGATGAAGAACTGTTGACCAAATACTTGCTGTCATCAAGTCTGCTTTTATATACTTTGATTTGTGCCTTTTCTAGAGAATTCTTGAGAAAACTTGGAATAGGTCCATTGTCCTGTAGTGAGCTATTTCCCCCAAATGTGTCTTACATGGGGAGGTAGAAGAAGGAGAATAAAGGTTATATAGCAAGTTTGAGGCCAGTTTGGATTACACGAGACCTTGTCTCCAAAAAAGTCACAATTTGGGGGCTGGAAAGATAGTATAAAGTGCTTGCATTATAAACTTGTTAGGGTTCCCAGCGTTCACATAAAACCAGGAGTGGTAGCAGAGTCTAATTCCAGTGTCTAGAGACTGAGAGACAGTTGGCCAGCCAGCCTGTCCAAATTGAGGAGTGACCAGTTCAGTGAGGGTCCCTACCTCAGGGCGGGTGGGCAGGTAGGGTGTCCTAAAGTTCTTGATGACCTGAGTTCCATCCATAGGACCCACATGATTGAAGGAGAGAGTGGCTTCCCCAAGTGTCCTCTGACCTGCACACACATGATTGTGGTGTTGGGGCACACATACCCACACACATAAATAAATGTAATTGAAAAATAAAAAGAGGTAGAGTGCTGTTGAGCAGGACATCAGATGTTGACCTCTGAGATCAGTCCATACATACCCACGTGAACATGAACGTGCACACAAACATGAACGTGTGCACACACATACATTCCATACGTTACGGTTTTTATTGGAATGTAGCAAGTGAGGATCATTCTTTTTAGCTCATTTCCTTTTCTTTCAGTTCTCTTATCTTTACTTCTGTAGCCCAGGTTGGCCTCAAATTCAACATTGTAGTTATTGATTATTGCGAACTCATTTCCTGCCTGCATTTTCAGAATTCTTGGAGTATGGGCTTGAGCCATTATACCCACTTGGTCCTTCAATCTATTTGTCTTTAAAAGGCTTGGAGCTGGGCATAGTGGCACACACCTTTAATCCCAGCACTTGGGAGGCAGATATAGGTAGATTCTGTGAGTTTGTGGCCAGCTGGATCTACATAGCAAGTTTCAGACCAGCCAGGGAAATATAGTGAGACCTAGTCTCAAAAACATTTTTTTTTCTCAAACATTTATTATGAAGGCCTAAGGGGAAAAGAACTAGAGTATATGCACAAACAAACAGAGAACAAAAGTAACACAAGATTCTCTAGCACGTTCTGCCATCAGACCTGCCAATATCTCACTTGGGATGAAAGTGAGTTCGAGGTCAGCCTGGTCTACAAAGTGACAGCCAGAGCTACAAAGAGAAACCCTGTCTCAAAAAACCAAAAACCAACAAGAAAGTGATTGCTTAGCCGCTTGATTACTTCTTCCAGACAGTACTGCCTTGCTTGGTCCTGGAGACACATAAGGAAGGAACAAGGCCAGAGAAAGTGAATATAGGCCTGGTTTTCAGAACCAGACTGGGCACAGGGAAGGTTGGGCAGTAGATAGGATTGGTCTGGGAGATTGGGGGTGAGTGGGGCATACAGACATACAGGTTTCTTTTGACAATTGCACAGCTGAGAGAAAGTAAAAGACGAGCACTCGGGAGGCAGAGGCAGGAGGATCTCTGGGAGTTCGAGGCCAGCCCGGTCTACAAGAGCTAGTTCCAGGACAGGAACCAAAAACCTACGGAGAAACCCTGTCTCGAAAAATCAAAAAAAAAAAAAAAAAAAAAAAAAAAAAAGGAAGTAAAAGACGGTGTGTAAATGTTCTTAGGATAAAGGTAGCATAGTATAGTACAGTTGGAATCCTGTTTTCACTGAGAGCAAGTTAGACTGCTGTCACCTTGAAAAAGGGTAATCATAGTACCTCCTTCATGAAGATTTTTGTGAAACTACATGAAGTATTCGCTGCATTATATGATGTTAGTTATTAATCCTTTTTATGATGAATGCCTTTCAGAAGGTGCTTCCTGGAGGGGCCTGCCCCACTGTTCCTGTACTGAATTCCAGGACAGCCTCAGCTTCAGCTACCATCCCTCAGGCCTAAGCCTGCACCTCAGACCACCCAGTCGGGAGAACTCCCCACAGGAGCAGCCCCTCTCCCAAGTACTAAGCCCTGAACCCCCCGACCCAGAGAAGCTTCCTGTGCCCCCTGCTCCTCCATCCAAGAGGCACTGCCGCTCACTCTCGGTGCCAGTGGACCTGTCTCGCTGGCAGCCAGTCTGGCGGCCCGCCCCCTCCAAGCTGTGGACTCCCATCAAGCACCGGGGCAGTGCTGGAGGGGGTGGGCCGCAGGTGCCTCACCAGAGCCCCCCAAAGCGGGTCTCCAGCCTCAGGTTCCTCCAAGCTCCCAGTGCCTCTTCTCAATGTGCCCCAGCCCACAGACCCTACAGCCCTCCTTTCTTCAGCCTGGCTCTGGCCCAAGATTCCTCTCAACCCTGTGCCACCTCCCCTCAGAATGGTTCTTGGGAGAGTGATGCTGAGTCCCTGTCACCCTGCCCACCCCAGCGCCGCTTCTCCCTGTCACCCAGCCTGGGCCCACAGGCAAGCCGCTTCCTGCCCTCTGCCCGGAGCTCCCCTGCATCTTCCCCAGAGCTACCCTGGAGACCTCGAGGTCTCCGCAACCTTCCCCGAAGCCGCTCGCAGCCTTGTGACCTGGATGCCCGCAAAACTGGCATCAAGCGGCGGCACGAAGAGGACTCCCGGCGCCTGAGGCCTTCCTTGGACTTTGACAAGATGAATCAGGTGGGACTGGTAAGCCGGAAGAGCAGCGAAGAGTGGGAGGACAGCTGAAACCTCTCCTAGCTCCGCCTTCTTTGCAGCCATCTTGAGAACTCTTCTCTGGAGTTTGTTCTAGGAAGACCTTTCTGGCTTGCCTGGAACTATTTGAGTTTTAACCTTTAAAGTTTCCAGCCCTGTCAGATTAGTCCTTGGTATTTGAAGAAACTAGGCTGAGACATTAAACCTTGTCCTGCCAGAGGCACTATCCCTCTCAGAGAACTCTTAAGTCACGAAAGCCCTGTCATTGGCGCTGAGGCCTTGTGCTCAGGGTGGGCTTTGCTCTCTGTCCCTCACTGCCTTGTGGGCCTTCGGAGGCCAAAACAAGTTTAGCAGGCATTTTTCTAAAGTCCTAGCCTGAGAGCAGTTGCTGGAGATGTACTTGTCCACTTTTTCCAGATTTTTCTTGGTCACAGGTCTCTGAGAATTTATTCCTTTAGTCTTCCATTCAGGAAGCGTTCATGGCAAAATCTATGTACTCGAGTCTGCTTAGGCACAGGCAGACAAGAGTGGCCAAATAAGCAGATGGTGTTGTTGGCTGCATGGAGCTTATAAAAGCTTATAAATGAGCTGGGTTTTTTTGTTTGTTTGTTTGTTTTGTTTGTTTTTTAAGATAAAGTTTTTCTGTTTATCCCAGGTTGGGTTCAGCTCGCTAAGCTATGAGATTTTAGATACCACCATGTCCCATCATAACTCATTGCTTCTATTCTGTGGTACTTGTGAGTGAACCTGTGTCCCTGTGTTTAATAGTCAACCTCCAGGCTTCTATGCTTTGCTGTGGTTTTGGTTTGCTTTGGTTTTTTGAGACAGGCCATTACTGTAATACAGAACCCACTATGTAGACTAGGCCTGCCTTGGACTCTCAGAGATCTGCCTCCCAAGTAATAGATTAAAGGGGGAAACTGGGTTTCTCTCCTCAGAGAATTTACATGTGTACTAAATGCTCCAAATTTTATGATTTGGAACCTTGCTCTAAAGCCTAGAATTTTGGCCCTCAAGTGTAACTGAGAGGGATCCTTTAAAATATGTTTTTGGAGGGCCAGGAGGGCACATCTACTCCTACAGAAGACCTGAATTTGATTCCTAGCACCCCTGTCGTGTAACTCCAGTTTCAGGAGGTTTGTCACCCTCTAGCGGCCTCTGCAGGCATTGTTCGGTGTGCGTGGTACACAGACTTCCATGCAAGCAAAATCCTTATACACATAAAGTAATCAATGGAAAGTTTTTAAATTTTAAGTTACTTATGGGAAATTAATATTTTTGTCTTAACTATGTTATTTGACAGAAACCATACTCAGGAGGTCTCTGTCTCCAAGAAACAGCTCCAGAAGGCAGCAGCATCTCTCCACCATGGTTCATGGCCTGTAGCCCCCCACCTCTCTCTGCTTCCTGCAGTCCTGTTGAGGGTTCATCCCATGTGCTGAGTGAAAGCGAAGAGGAAGAAGAGGGGGCTGTGCGGTGGGAACGGCAGGAACTAAACAAGCGGACACTGTGCCAGCAGGACTTTGGGGACCTGGACCTGAATCTGATTGAGGAAAACTAAAACTGAGAGACTGCTTCCTGGGGCCACACTGACTGACTGTCTAATGGCTACTAACACGTGTGGAGGCTCCAAGGCTGAGGGCCCAGCCTGGGAAAGGGGGTGAGTGAGGGCTCCAACTCAGGGCAGCCCAAGTCTTCTCGCTCCAGCAAGCTCGACCATGCCAAGAGACTGGCCGGGACAAGATAAACGGAGCTGGTGGCGGGAGGGACAGCCCCAGAGCAGACCCTCCCCATGGCGGCCCTGAGTGTGAGTATCCCTGCCACTGAGAGAGCAATGGGCAAGGAAGGAAGGGGTCTGCCGACCCCAGCTCGGGGAATTTCACTAGCCCCTTTGCTTCAAAGGGCACTTGTGTCTTAGAATTTGGCCAGGGTGGGGGCATTCAGTCAGCCTCCTCGGAGAAATTGTGTGAGTGTGTGTGTGCTTGGGCGTGTACTTGAGGAGAGGTGTGTTTGTGTAGCCTTAGGGAAGGAAGGCAGCTGCTCCTTTAACAGCAGAGCTTCAGCAGGCCCCCAGAATCTTGATGTTTTGTTTTGTTTTGTTTTTTTCCTCTTTTTAAATATGACGTTGGGCTTGTTCAAGGTGTCTAGAGAAAAGGGGGCTCTTATTTTTTTTTAATTTTTTTATTTTTTTGGTCTTAACTCTGGAGCCAGGCTTTTAAGTTCATAGCATTACTTGCTCTGCAGATGGCTCTGTTTTGGGATCTAAGAACGGTGACCTCAGCTAATGGTCTTTTCCTCAGTCCCACCCTCACCCACTAGATAAATCTAGTGGGCTTGTAGAAAGGTCACGTTCATGTTGTTCATCCATTACCTAAGCTGCACACAGCCTGCCTCTCTTGTTCTCTGAGTAGGTGCACACATGGGCAGCTGAGGCAGAGCGAAGGGGTTCTTTCTCTTCTTCACCAAGGGGACCCTTTCATGCTCTGATCTTTCAAATCAGAGACAAAGTTGATCCCCAGAATATGTTGAGGCTGACCTGTAGCAGGAGCAGTGACATTTCGTATCCAGAAGTCCTGGAGCCCACCCCAGCACTGCCTTTTGGAAGCTGGCTGTAGGGAAACTTACTCTTGCGAGATGGAGGCCCAGTCTCTTTCTGATCTGCAAGACATAGGAAAGGCGTTCAGCATTAATAGTTTGCTTGTCTTCCACTCTTGCCAGGAAATGTTTATTTGCCTCTAATTGGCCCTGAGAGACCACAGAGAGGCTGGGCTCACCGAGGGATTGGCTGGGGATGTGTAAAGCAAAGACTATGAGAAGCAGCTGGGAGTTTGTTGTTGTTGGATTGAATTTCCTTTCTTGTTTCTTACCCACAACTTCAGCCAGTGCAGCAGGTCCCAATGGCTACAGTAATGGACTTAAAGATTGTAGGTACCGTGGTAGGATTGGCACCAGGGGGCATGTGTATAGTAGAAGCTGCCACGATTGAAATCTGCGAGCCTTTGTTTAGAACACCCTGCATAACGAAATTGAACATGCCCTTCCCACTTATTATAGTAAGGGCATTTTTCTGTTCAATTTCCAGGGTGTCTTCAAGGGAGGTAGCCATGTCTTCTTGAGCCTGTGGCCCTCAGAGGTTCTACTTTTCCAGGGCTCCTCCCTGTCTCCTGGCTAGTTACCACATATTACCACTGGGCTCCCAGTCTCTGAGGGCCTTGGGAGAGGCTCTCTTGAGAGTCCAGGGAAACAGCCCAGGAGTTACCTATCCTTGGTTTCATCCTTCCCCAGTTCTCCCTCTCTGGTCCATAATTTCCCTGGTGCCAGCTTCTCTTCCACCTGGGGCATCCTCATCCCTGGGGTCTCTGCTGCAGATGGCAGTGTCAGCTTCCAATAGGTCACTGGCAATGCCAATGGGGTCTCCGCAAGACCCTAAGTTTAAGTGAAGGCAGTGATTCTGCCTTCATTCTGGCTTTCCCAGAGCCCTTAGGTCACCACCCTTAGGGAAAGGAGGCCTACAGTTGTCATAGTTTAATTCCATTCCTTTAAGTCTGGAATGTTAAACTAAGCAGAACTATCATCTTGCTTCCCAGTTTAAATGCCTCTGGCCCTGGAACAAGCCTTTTCAAGAAGTGAATCATTTTGCTTTACACAAAAGATCTGTTCCGACAGTTCTGTGTAAACCAAATGCTATTTTTGGATGCATTTGGACTGCTGGTCATTTAAAAGCAGCCTATGATTGCTTCTTTTGTAAAGCAAGCAACCTCCCTCTACTTTAGCTGGTTTCGTTATCTGGGCTTTCCCAGAGTGGAGCACACCTCCGGGGCTTGTGGCTGACGCTGTGTAGACGTCTGCATCTGTGCTGTGTGTGTGGTGTGGCTGGCCGGTAGGTGAGTATTATTGCGTGTGTGAGTGAAGCCACTCCCAGGCTGATGCTCTCCTCCTGTGCCCGGTGACTGCCCAGTGGCAGCCCTAGCTGCCCTTCATTCCCACCTGCTGCCAAAGTCCCTGTGCTAATGGGATTACAGAAACAAAAAGTGGAAAAAAATTTTTCGTAAACTTTGTTTTATATTAAAAATTCCATAAGTCTGTGTGTGTTAAAACATGAGGTTCTGCCTCTGTGGCTGTGTTTGAAAAAATAAAGTTTTATTAGAATAATCCATTTTCCCAAGCAACCTCGTGTACTATAGTGTCTTTTTCCCTTATGTGTGCATACACACACACACACACACACACACACACACACACACACACACACACACACGGAGAGAGAGAGTGAGAGGAAGAAACTGAACGATGCTTGACTTCCCAATCCTTTTAAGGCATGACCAGCCCCCACAAAAGGACTGTTATCTGGTCCCTAGACCCGTCTATGATCAGACCCTGTTGCCTGGAATTCTGTTCACATGGCTTGGTTCCAGTTTTCCTGGTACTTACATGTGTCATCTGCCATCACTCTCATTTCCAGCTGGTTAAAAGCAAGTACTAATACATTCCAGTTCCCTGAGATACGGCTGATGGGCACTTAGACACTTGACTAGGTTAATTCATTGTGTTTGAATGGTGAGAGAACAGAAAAGAATCCCTTCATAAGTTTTCACGTAATATTCTGGAGAGAGAGATTTAGTCTTCAGAACTCAGATTCCAAGATCTGGGTAACTTCTCCATCTTAAAAATCCTGTTTGCAAAATTATCCTAACAGCAAAGCTCTTTTGTCCTAGAAAAGGATATGTTCCTTAAAACTTCTGTTGTTGCCTTAAAAAAAAAAAAAAAGGTGTTGAAGTCTTTGCTTTTGTATTCCATCCTTCTCCTTATGTTAACATTTTTCTAATGTGTATGGATGAAATACGGCTACTTTAGCTAAGCAAGGGCCTCTGTCTTTCCTTACCGGGCTGAATGGAGAGTCAAGGTGCTCACCCTATGTCCTGGTTTTCTACTTCAAATCTGTGGGACTCATCTTGGAAACCAATGTTGTGTACAAGACAGGACTGGCCTGGTTACCTGGAGCAGGAACCTAGAGAGTAGGAGTTGCCACCTGCCCTGGAAATAAAGGAGGAGGGGCTTTGGAGATAGACTATGGCAGACACATGGTTAGGGAAATTTCTTTGTTCTTTTGTTTTGTTTTGTTTTTCGAGACACGGTTTCTCTGTGGCTTTTGGAGCCTGGCCTGGAACTAGTTCTGTAGACCAGGCTGGTCTCGAACTCACAGAGATCCGCCTGCCTCTGCCTCCCGAGTGGTGGGATTAAAGGCGTGCGCCACCATTGCCCGGCTGGTTAGGGAAATTTCTATTCCTGCTTTTTCTCTCTTCACAACTATCCTGTTGCACTTGCTTGAGCCAGGGCAAAGTTTGAACAACTAAAATGACAATAATCCTTATTCTTGTTTTTTAGTCTTGTAGTTGGTTTATAATTTGTGTGTGTTTGTGTGTGTGCGTCTGCTGTGCGGAGGATAAAACAACAAGGGTTGAGTACATGCTAGGTGAATAGTCTCCCGCTCAGCTCTCCCTCAGCTCCATGGAGAGCTGTAAGTTCTGTAAGTTCTCTGAGGCCAAATGTGCTCATCACTTTCATTGCTGAAGTCTCTTATAGGAAAGAGGTGTAAATTTTATAAGGGCAGGGGATTGTTTTATTCAGTGTTGTGGCCTCAACACTTGGGAATTTCTTGGCACATGAAAAGGTGCCTGTTTTATTTGTTAGATGAATTTCTCCTTTGCCCATCCCATCCCTGAGCTTAAATATAGTTGTCACAGTGCTGTGCAAAGTCAGCTGTAGACACTGGGGCAGGGACTAAAGGCTCATATGGGAGGAAAACCCTTCAGTAGTTAATTTTGGTAGAAAAGATGCAAGGCAGATAGGTCCTATATGGATTCACCCGTTTTCCTTCTATGAATAATTTATGGGCCATGTGCTCTAAGGACTCAGTCCAGGTCTCCCCGCTTTGTTACAGGAGAGAAAAGTTACAAGGAATAGGGGTTGGAATGTACCTTTAACCAGAGAAGCAGACTGTTCTACATAATGACCTCCAGGTCAGCCTGGGACACAGAGTGAGATCCTTAAAAAGCACACAAAAAAGTTGGGAAGAAACTTTTGTTCCCTTTGTGCTCCACAATGTGGCACTAGAATGAGTTCCCTAGATATTTTGTACTTTATGAAGTTGGTAGTTGGTATTTCCCATCCCAATATTTGCTTTAAAAAAAATAGGTCAAAGGTACAGACAGGGTTATGGAAAAGGAGATAACTAGGTAGCCACATCTACTTTGGGCAGATGAATGAAAGAACTAGCCTCTTTTATAGCAATAGTCATGGTTTAGGACTAGACTCTTTCTCTTTGTGGTTTGTAAAGACTTAGTCTGCGTATTCAAGAGAGAGTTAGAAAGGTAGTCTAACATCACCAACAAATGTTGGAGGCTCTCCATTGCATATTGTGGATTAGTCTAGCCAAAATCTCAACATCCTCCCTGTGTACCATGTCCTTTTCTAACTAAGATTGAGGGATAGCTCATAACTGAAATAGTTCTAATAGATGCTACGGAACTTTCTTTGCTTGCAACCCTATGACGTCCATGGCAAAATGAAATGCCACCACATTAGGTGGTCTCTCCCATTTCTCTACAAGTTGACAGACTGGGGCTAGAGAGATGCCTTGGTAGTTAAGTGTACTTGCTGTTCCCCTGGTCTTAAAACCTGGATTCAATTCCCAACACCCACATGACAACTGTTTTGTAATCCAGTTCCATGGATCTAGCACCCTCTTGTGGCCTCTACAGTGGTGCACATACACACAAACACACACACACACACACAGAGGCAAAATACTTAAGACATTTAACATACAAATAAAAGGGTTTGGTTTTGTTTTTTTGAGACAGTTTCTCTAGTTGTCCTGGAACTAGCTCTTGTAAACCAGGCTAACCTCAAACTCACACAGATTCACCTACCATTGCCTCCTGAGGGCTGGGATTAGAGCATGCACCACCACAAAGGGCCTGTTTGTTTGTTTTAAGGCAGGTTCTCACTACATCACTCTGGCTGGGCTAAATCTCCCTAGATAGACCTCCAACTCTCAGAGATCTGCCTGCCTCTGCTTCCAGAGTGCTGACGTTAAGAGCATGTGCTACCGCCGTACCAGGCTAAAATAAACCTTCAAAGAAACATATTGGCCCATTAGAAAAGGAAAAAAACCTCTGTGGGTTCAAGACAGAACACTAAGAAGGTACATTCGTCTTTAGCCAATGGAGATCATAATCACACCCTAATGGATGTTACGCATTGGCCAATGGGAAAGGAATCTATCAAGTACTGAACTCCTGTGGGCCAATGAGAAGGATGGTAGTGTCCCATATGGATCAATGGAGCGGGTATTTCCTAACAGGTAATAGGAAGTAACTCGTTTTAGGATAGGAGATCAATGGGTTGGTTATTGGGGTTAACTCAAAATAGCCATGTTCTAGGTACCTTCCCTCATCTCCCCACCCTCTTGAAAAGTCTTTGGTGTTGTCTGAGGAGAGAGGGCGTAAACTTCTCCACACATGACCACCTGAACTGGAGTAAGACTGGGACTAGTGATGGTGCTACTGGTGGGGGAAGGGGATAAAGGACCCGCCCACCTCTCCGCCCCCCAGCCAAACTTGCAATTCCCCTCCCGACCGCAGGGGGCACTGCAGGCCCTGGGGAGGTTGGGGCGGAGCGCTGCGAGGGGCTGACAGCTGCTGCCCGGCTCCAGAGCGCTGGGGGCGCTGTGCGCGGCCCTGGCTGTGCCTCCGCTCCCGGCCACGGGGGGCGCTGCGCGGCGCCGGTGGTTGGTGGTGGCTGTTGGGGGGGTGGGGGGGAGCGGCGGCCGCGGGTGGTGCGGAGGGAGGCCTTGCGGGTGGATCGGGCGCTTGGCGGCGGAGGTGGTGGGAGGCGGCGGGAGGGAGCGCGGGTCCGGCCGGCCCTGGCGATGGCGGACGCGGCGGCCTCCCCGGTGGGCAAGCGGCTGTTGCTTCTGTTCTCGGACCCTGCGGCCTCAGCTTCGGCCTCGGCCCCCACGGCGGCGGCGGCAGTGAGCGGAGATCCTGGGCCTGCGCTGCGCACTCGGGCCTGGCGAGCCGGCACGGTGCGGGCCATGAGCGGGGCGGTGCCCCAGGACCTAGCGGTGAGTGGCGGCCGAGGCGGGCACGCGAGGCCGGGGCTGTGGGGCCTGTGGGCGGCCTCCCCGGGGGCCTTTGTGAGGGGGGTGGCGAGGCGGGGGTGACCCAGTTCCGCGCCCCCGGCTCTCCTGAGCGCCCCCCGCCGGCACCTCGGCGCCTGGGCACTCGGGCTCTGGCCGGCGTGGCTTCCGCGTCGGGGTGCGCGCCCCAGTTTCTCCTGGGGGGCGGCCGGGGTGCGAGGAAGCTGGTGCTGCTGCTTCTAGCCGGCAGGCCCCGCCTCCTGGGCGACCCTGCTCTGCGCACCCCCCCACCACGCCCTCAGAGCAGGCTCTCGAACCCTGGGTCCCCGGGCCCCGCAAAATTCATCTAGAAGACGCCGACCTGGAGTCCCCAGGCCGTCTCCGGGGACTCGCACCGGGTTCCCTTCCTCCCGCAGCCTTGAGCGCGGCCAGAATGTGGGTAGCTGCAGGAGGCTCAGAGGCTGCAGTTGGAGCTGCTTGGGGCTTTTTTTTTTTTTTTTTTTAAATCTGGCACTTATTTCCTCCTTGTTTGAGCAGGGCTCGGCCTGGCGGTCCCCAGAAAGGCCAGTTCTGTGGTCTGATTTCGAACGCCCTTCTTTTGGCGCTTCTGGGTGTCAGGAGCTGCTGTTTGAGCCTTTTGATAAGTTTGAGGTCTGTGCTGGTAGCCGAATGAGGCTGTCGAGTGGTGGTTTTGCTTCTAACTCGGTTACTCCCCTAACCTTGAGAGGTTTTGCTTTGAAACTTTGTATTAGGGTTTGGTCGCTTGCCTCGTTATATTTTACCGTGAAAGTTGTTCCGTACATAGTTAAGTAGCGTTCGAGACCGTAAGCTTTTATTTTTGCTAATGTGGCGGCAAAATACTACCTTTGAGTTTTGTCAAGCCTCTTCAGTTCCTCATTCTGATAGCGGCCCTAGCTAGCCTCTCTGGTGAGCTAAAGCTATGAGAAATGGGCGGGAAGGGTATTTGGAATGATCTATTGATCAATAAACAGAAAGTGAATATTCTCGATGGGCTTGATACCGCAGACATTTCATTCACCAAACAGGAACATATTTTGTGAGATTTAGGATTAATGTATCTGTCTGCTGCTGGTTTTGCATCCTAGGGATCAAGTGTTGGGCTTTCTAGTTGGTAAGCAACCTTTGGGTTCTTGTTTTTTTGATTTTTTTTTTTTTTTTTTTTTTGGCTTGTTTCTGGCTCAAGCTTTACCGCTCCTGGTTCTGTTCACTTGCTTTGATCATTCTCTGGGATGTATAAAGGAGGTTTGTTAGGGTATTGATTAAGCTCCAGCGGAGTGAATTTGTAAAAAGATACCACGACAATAAGATGGGAAGCAACCTTTGGGTTCTTGTTTTTTTGATTTTTTTTTTTTTTTTTTTTTTTGGCTTGTTTCTGGCTCAAGCTTTACCGCTCCTGGTTCTGTTCACTTGCTTTGATCATTCTCTGGGATGTATAAAGGAGGTTTGTTAGGGTATTGATTAAGCTCCAGCGGAGTGAATTTGTAAAAAGATACCACGACAATAAGATGGGGATTTGATCCAAAATTCCTCTGCCCTTTCTACGAAAGAGGGGTAGGATTCGATCGTGATGGTTTCTTTCTCATTCACTAATCCCCTCCCCTCCCCCAAGCAAAGCATTTTTGAGATCTACCCATTTGCGCATACTCTGACCTGAGGCATTGCCATTGCACTGGGATTTTACTTCCCAGTTCTTTGAATAGTTGTTTCCCGTTCTCTCTGTCAAATGAATTGAGCTCGTGAGCTCTGCACCTGAAATGGCTACCCAGTCGCTCTGTTGTTTGTTGATCTTCGTGATTGCAGAGTGCACTAAGTGCTGGACACCTACTAGGGCTAAATACTTAATAGTTTTACCACTTGGCCAGTGTAAGTGGGTTTTCCAACCAACTAAACACTTGCAGTGATTCTTGAAAAAAAGCAAGGTGTTCTTACAACTGTGTTGAAGGTCTTTGGCGCAATGTGAACATAGAAGCAAAGGTAACTTTGGACTTGGTGAATAGATTTGTGCTTGTCCTACACTTTTATCCGGGAACATATATGAGAAAACAGTCACAACAAAACTCTGGGCCTTTTAGGTTTTTTTTTTTTAACCTTCTTGCCGTACTGTTCTAGAATTGCTGTTACCTTGAGGTTTTGTTGAAGACGGTGACTACTGAGAAATAAATGTGTATTTGCCATTTGTTTTCCTTTTTCATTGGCGAGAATGTCTTTGGACTCTGGGCATGTGGACCTTTCCAATTTGCACCACTCATTGTAGTAAACACAACTATCTTCCAATCAAAAGTGTTCTTCCTGTACTCAAGGGTGGAGTTTGCCAGCAACTGGCCTGTGATTGGGCAGATTTTCTTTCAGTTATGTTTAAGAGGTTTTCAGGCGTGCTTGGTTTTGAGTAATGCATAGCAGGGCGCCCCCTGTTAAGGATGAGTAATTAAGGGATGGATGAATAGTTTCTGAACTGATTGAAAACACATTTCTCAATTTTAGGCTCCATTAATACCCTCTTTCTAAATACTTTTTGACCCAGAAATACTGGTGATACATTTAATGAACCTTTTTTTTTCATTACCAATGCCATATCCTGCCTTAAGATATGATGTGGGGGGGGGAATGAAAACCTCTACTCCATTCCTTGGGAAATTTGTTGATGAGTGTTTTAAGAGTGGTTATGTTCACCATCAAACTTCCTTTGACAAGCAGCTGCTGATTTTTTTATCCAGATACAAACCCAATTTTTCCCCTCTGTTTCTCTTGGAATAGTGGCTGTTCGTTCAAAATAGGTCTTTTGTGTGTGTTTTTTTAAAAATATGTTGCAAGATTAGTGGATTTTGCGTTTATATTATTTCATAATGTAGTTGTACACTTTGAGTTCCAAAATCATTATTTGTCCATGTATGTTCCAGAGTCCTTGAGACCATTACACGTATAGATAAACAGACAAAAATACCGTGGATTTTCCTTTTAATTATAAAAGTACATCTGTTTACAGAATGTCAAACAAAGCTATAGACGTGAGAGCATAGCAGTCTTGACCTCTGTGGCTCCAGCTTACCGAGGAAGAATATGATTATTTTTCCTTTAAAAAAATACTGTACATGCAAAAAAATGAATAAAAGGGTAGGGTTGGAGCACAGTCAGTAGTGTTTGCCCAGCAAGCATAAGGGCCTAAGTTTAATTCCCACACTGCAGAAACTGGGCATGGTGGTGGGGACATACCTGTAAAATTCTTCTCTACAAAGAATTGGTTTTTTTTTTTTTTTTTGAACAAATGCTATCTTACTACACAATATCTGCTACTGGCTCTTTTTAAATAAACTTATTTTCGGTGTATGAATGTTTTGCCTGCATGTATGCATGTGCACTTTTAGTTCATTAGGTAATACATGGTTATTTTCCACTCATTAAAATGTTTCATACTCCCACAAACAGTGCTGTAGTTCTTGTTTTCCTTCATCTTTATTGTCAAATGATGTCATGAGTATTTTACTGTTGACAGTGAGAAAAAGTATCTAACATTTTCATAACTACTGGTCTTTCTGGATGTATTTCCTCCTCTTCCATCCTAATTATGCATCTTTGATCACTTGAGAAATTAGTTAATTATGTTTTTATTCTGAGTTCTTTATGCAGTTATTAACTTTTTGAGACAGGGTGTCTTTGTTACAGCTCTGGCTGTCCTGGAACTGGCTTTGTAGACCAAGCTGGCCTCAAACTCATTGAGATCCAACTTCCTCTGGTCCCAAGTGCTGGGATTAAAGGAGTGCGCCACTACTTCTGGGCTGGTTATTAACTTGTATTACCTCTCTAGTATATTGTAATCATTATTCTTTTGTTTGTTTTTGTTCTATGGGACAGGATTTCTCTGTGTAGCCTTGACTGTCCTGGAACTCACTTTGTAGATCAGGCTGACCTTAAATTCAGAGATCCGCCTGCTTCTGCCTCCCTAGGGCTAGGATTAAAGGCGTGTGCCACCACCACTAGGCTATAAATATTCTTTGTATTTTTATTTTAGGCCTTTTTTCTTTTTGAGATATTCCCACTATGTATGACTCCCTGTGTGCTTGGAACTCATTATGTAGACCAAGCTGGTCCCCCCCTTTTTTTGAGACAGAGTCTCAGTATGTAGACCTGGAACTTGATGTGTACAAGCTGGCCTAGACTCCAGAGATTCACCTGCCTCTGAGTTCTGGGATTAAAAGAAAACACCAACACTCTTGGCTTCTGTTCATTTTTATTTTTTTTTTAAATATTTATTTATTAAGTATACAATATTCTGTCTGCATATATGCCTGCAGGCCAGAAGAGGGCACCAGATCTCATTACAGATGGTTGTGAGCCACCATGTGGTTGCTGGGAATTGAACTCAGGACCTTTGGAAGAGCAGGCAATGCTCTTAACTGCTGAGCCAGCCCTTCTGTTCATTTTTAAAAGACATTTATTTTGCCTGGGTTGTGAATGGCTTTAATCCCAGCAGAGGCCTAAGAAGGAAGAATTTGAGGCCAGTGTGAGCTATACAGTGTACAGGCCAGCTAAGACAAATAGATAATTAGTAAGAATATTGCTTTGTAGCCCAGGGTAGCCTGGAATTTGAGAAGCCCTTGCGTTAGCCCCCCAGTTGCTCTGCTGCCCAGTTGGAAGGGCCTGTCTTTGCAGCACATTGTCCCCTCACATCACACTGCACAGACTTATTCACCTTCCTCCACTACAGCATCAGAGCTCTCCTGCGTTTGTTTGGTTTGCTTTGGGGTTGGAGTTTTGTTGTAGTTTTGGTTTGTTTTTTGAGACAGGGTCTCACTATGTAGTCTTGGCTGGCCTGGAACTGACCTGCTCTCCCTCCCCTTTACTCCCCAGTGTGCACGCCCCAGGCCTGGCTAGTTTTTGCTTTTGTATTTAGAGCAGAGCATTGCTAAGTGTCCTTGGCTGGGCTGGTCTGGAACTGGCCTGGTGCTGCAGGTGTGTGTGCTGCCACTTGAAGCTAGGTTGCTCCTTCGTTTACCAGGGATTCGCATCACCAACTCCTCATCTGCCAAGAGCTTGTAAGCACTTGTGTGTTCTACTAGCTTGTTCTGGTTGATTTAGTCTCTCTTCACAAACAGACCCAGAGTAGAAGATAAGAAACATTCACTTGGTGTTTTTTAACAACAGCTGTGGTGGGTGTGTGCCTGTAGGTTTTCTTGCCAGAAGGCCTGAGGGACACTTAACACCTGTTACTCCTCAGTTTTCCACTGCCCTCCATAGGTTGGTGGTTTTTAAGCCCTCCAAACCCATCATGTCCACTGCTAAAGTGTCTTTTATTCTTGTTCTCCAGATGAGTGAAACCTGCCTGATTGTTTAGTAGTGACTAAAGTGGTGTGGCCTCTTAGTTTTACAAGAGGGTATAAGCTCCATATTTTTAGTGACTTTGTAGGTAATGGGGCTCTAGGGGACTGACTCACTAACCAAATTCTCTGGAGACTGATTTGAAAATCCATATGCAAGGTTATTAATTTACAATGGTGCATATACCTGTAGAGATGAAAATCCTCTCACCTGCTCAAGGTAAGGAGGATTTTTGCCATGTGAAGAATTAGACAAGGAAAATTAGATGTAGCCCAGAGATATTTATAGCAAGCAACACTCAGTTTGTGGTCCTCTAATTCGCTAGTGCTTTCTGTCTTCCATTGCATTATTCCCATTTCTTTCTCAAGACAGCCCAGGTGAACCCCGAATGATCTACCCACCTTAGCTTCCTGATTGTTGGACTTATAGGTATGTACCAATATGGGCTGGAAATTTTTCTTCTTTTTTTTGAGAGGAAAGCTCAGTTTGTAGCCTTGACAGGCTGAAGTTCTGTGTAGACCAGGTTGGCCCAGAAGTCACAGATATCTACCTGCCTCTGCCTCCCAAGTACTTCGGTTAAAGATATGCACTGCCACACCCAGCTTTTTTTTAATTGTTGTTTGTTTGTTTGGTTTGGTTTTCAGAATAATGTTTCTCTGTGTAGCCCTGGCTGTCCTAGAACTCACTCTGTAGACCAGGCTGGCCTTGAACTCAGATCTGTCTGACTGCCTCCCAAATGCTAGGATTAAAAGTTTGCCACCTTTGTTTGGCAAATGTTTTGTTTTGTTTTGACTAGCCTAGGTGACACGATGTTATTTCAAAAAGATAGTAAAGCTAGGCAAAGGCAGGTTTATTTCTATGAATTTTGAGGCCAGTCAAGTCTGCACAATTGAGACTTTGTCTCAAAAGGGGGGGGTGATAAACTGGGTGTGGTGGCATGTCATGTTCGTTCCTCATCATGGCTGAGGCAAAAGAGTCATTTCAGATTCAGTCTAGGTTTTGCTGCATTGTGGATTCAATATAAATATATTGACCTCAACTCCAGCTAAGCTATCTGGGGCTAGGGATGAAGCTCACTTGTCTAGCATGCTTGAAGGCTGGACCCCACCCCCAATCCTGCAAAAGTAGTGGCATACATCTATAATCCTAGCACCAAGGTTCTTTTTTTTTTTTTTTTTTTTTTTTTTTTGGAGCTAGAGTCTCTGTGGGAACTTTCTGTTCTCCTGCCTCAGCCTCCTGAATGCTGAGCTTACAGGTGTGTACCACCATGATTATCTTAATAATACTTTTTGTAAAGACTTCTCTGTGTTTGGGGCAATTAAAATCATTACAGGAGTGGTTTCGCCAGATTATTTACATGTTATGAGTTTTAGGTACATCTTTACATTTTCTTGTCTTGTTTGAGGCATGATCTCAATCTAAGCTGTCCTGGAACTCCCAATGCTGCTTTACTCTCCTGGGAATGGTAGACCTAGAGGGCTTACAGGCGTATACCACCACACCTGACACCTGACACATCTCTCTCCCTCCCTCTCTCTCTCTCTCTCTCTCTCTCTCTCTCTCTCTCTAGTTTTTCGAGACAGGGTTTCTCTGTGTAACTGGCTGCCTATAACTCACTCTGTAGACCAGGCTGAACTCAAACTCACAGAGATCTGCCTGCTTCTGCCTCCAGAGTGCTGGGATTAAAGGTGCACGCTACCACAGTCCAGCAACACTTCTCTTTTAAAGGTTCTATCAGTTTATACCATGACCAATAAGTATTCCAAGCTTGCTTAGGGAATGAATGCTCCAGGCAACCCTCTGAGGCCCTTATTGTTTCTATTTATAGACAAAGGAAGTCAGGCTCAAAGAGACTAAAGTAGAACCATGGGGGAGTTGAGGTACAAGTCCCTACATAACATTGATCTTATAGCTCCTCAAAATGCTGTACATATTTGAATTTTTATTCAGACTATCACTGTTACTCCAACTACCATTCAATATACTCAGTCTTAGGTGGAAAAGATATTGGAAAGATATTGCTTGGAAAATAAACTATAAAGAGGAAATGGTTATTTACCTGAAAACAGCACATCATCATGCTTCATCACTTTATCCTACAGTTTTGTAAAATTGCACATAATTCACAATTTGAAATAGGAAGGGAAATTAAAAATCAAGAATCTTATTAATGAACCTTTATTTCCTTTACTCCCCGACAGTCATCACCATATCCTGTTATTCTCATCTCTAATATCTCAAATAGAGTTCACATTCATGTACTCTTACTGTTTTTTTTTTAATTTTATTTCTTTGTGAATGGTCTTAGTTTCTCTACTCCATAATTTATCTTTTAAGCCTAATCCAAAGTTAATTTTTCCCTTTAAAATTAATTACCTATATAATAAGTGATACATTCATTGAAGAAAAAAGCATCTGATGAAAATCACGTTTTATGCCCATGTATAAAACAGAGAAGCCTTAATCAGAGAAGCATCATTCTCAGTGGACTGCAGTGGATGTACAGGCTCATGGCTGCACATGGCTCCTAAATTAAAGACCAGGCTGGTCTACAGTGCAAGTTCTGGGACAGCTAGAGCTACACAGAGAAACCCTGTCTCAGAGATGGCTCCTTGGTTAAGAGCGTGTATTGGTTGCTCTTGTAGAGGCCCTAAGTTCAATTCCCAGCACCCACTTCACGCAGCTCACAGCTACCTGTAACTCCAGCTCCAGGGTATCTGATGTCTTTTCTGGACTACATAGGCATCTGCACTCATGGGGCATGTTATCAAAGTTAAGCACACGCACCCATGTGTGCACAAGTGCACTTGCATGTATGTCTGTATGAGGACATCAGATTCCTCTGGAACTGGAGTTACAGATATTTGTGAGCTGCCATGTGGGTGCTAGTAATTGAACCCAGTCCTCTGGAAGAGCTGCCAATGATCTTAACTGTTGAACCATGTCTCCATCCCAGAAATCTTTTTTTAAAAAGGAAAAAAACTAAAACAAACAAACAACAAACAAAAGAGATGAAGAGATGGTTCAGTGGTTAAGGACACTTACTGCTCTTGCAGAGAATCTAAGTTCAATTCTCAGCACCCATGTTGGCTAGCTCACAACTGACTATAACTCCAGCTCCAGGGGAATCTGACATTTCTGGCTTCTTAGACCTCTGCATGCACACACATAACACACACATCCCTAACCCTTTGTTGTATTTTCATTTTGTTTTCCAGACACAGTTTCTCTGTGCAATAGCCCTGGCTGGCCTCAAACTCAAAAATCAGTTTGATTCTTCCTGGGGTCAAAGTTGTGGGACACTATGTCTGAATCACACTTTTTTATTTTGTTTGTTTGTTTGCTTGCTTGTTTTGGTTTTTCGAGACAGGGTTTCTTTGTAGCTTTGGAGCCTGGCTTCAAACTCAGAGATCCTGTCTCTGCCTCCTGAGTGCTGGGATTAAAGGTGTGTGCTGCCATCACCACCAGGCCACACTTCTGTTTTTAAAAGTAAAAATAGATCTTAAAAACAAAAACAAAACCTTCCAATTAGAAAACAAAATGGATCTGGGCTCTGCAAAAAAGTATGTGTTCTTAACCACCAAACGTCTTCTCAACTTCCAGTTTTTGTTAATTTATCATCCTTTTCTTGCCTGCCATCCTAGTACTGCATAAAACCAGGTGTGATGGCACATGCATGTAATCCCAGTTGAGGGCAGGATGGGATACATGAGACCTTGTCTGGGAAGAAAAAAAGGAAACCTTGGACCAGTGAGTTGGGTCAGCTGATAAAACACTCTTGCTGCCAAGCCTGTTGGCCTGAGTTAAAATCGCTGTGACCACACTGTGGAAAGAAGTGGTTCCAAGTTGTCCTCCATGTATATACTCTGGCAATTGCACATACACACAAAATAAGTAAATAAAGGTAATAAAAATTAAGGTGAGATGGTTAGCAGGTAAAGACACTTAACCCCCAAGCCTGAGTTCTACTCCCAGAACCCATGTAGTGGAAGGAGAGAACAGACCTTTGTAAGTTTTCCTCTGACCTCCACATGCATGTGCCACACCCTAAATAAATTTGTATTTTTTTTTAAATCTTGTTTTTTAAGATTTAATTCATTTATTATGTATATGGTGTTCTGCCTGCATGTATCCTTGCAGGCCAGAAGAGGGCACCAAATCTCATTACAGATGGTTGTGAACCACCATGTGGTTGCTGGGAATTGAACTCAGGACCTTTGGAAGAGCAGGCAAAGCTCTTAACACTGAGCCATCTCTCCAGCCCTGTTTTTAATCTTTTAAGTAACAGAAAATATCAATAAAAATGACCTTAGAAGTAAGTTTATGGAAATTTTCTTAGTCTTTTGTTTAAAACTAGGAAAATTGTTTTCTCCCCAAATGTGACATTCCAATTGTTTTTGATATTTCTTTGCAGATCTTTGTAGAATTTGACGGCTGTAACTGGAAGCAACACTCCTGGGTTAAAGTTCATGCTGAAGAAGTAATAGTACTTCTGCTAGAAGGATCGCTTGTTTGGGCACCCCGGAAGGACCCAGTCCTTCTACAGGGCACTCGTGTCTCAGTTGCGCAGTGGCCAGCGCTAGTAAGTAGCTTTTATTTATTTGTGCTTAGTTATTTTGGGGGTGAATGAGTTGGAGACAAGTTCATATACTCCAGACTGGCTTCTTGGCAGACTTTGAACTTATCCTCCCACGTCCACCTTCCAGGGCTGGGATTGCAGGTGTGTGCCACCCAGCCCTGTTTATACCGTGCTGGTTATCAAAGCCAGACCCATACACGTTAGGCAAGCATTTTGATATTTTTTCCCCTGTTGTACTATTTTCTTTTTATTTATGGTGTCAGGTATCAAATCTTATATACTAGGCAAGTGCCTTACCACTGAGCTATATCATGTAGCCCAATAAATGAATCACTTTTATTAGATAGGAGCAATTTGACCTTTTCTCTTAGGCCTATAAATATTTACCTCATAGTATAAACTCTTCAGAAATTGCAAATATCTACATGCTTTGTCTTTAACAAACTTTTCTTCTGAAGTTACCAAAGCAAAAATTAACAGTTCTTTTTCTCTATGTTCTGAAGAAAAGTTTATTTTGATTGATTGACTGATTGATTGATTGATTGATTGATTGATTTTTCAGGACAGGGTTTTACTGTGTAGCCCTGACTGTCCTGGAACTCATTCTGTAGACCAGGCTGGCCTCAAACTCACAGAGATTCTTCTGCCTCTGTCTCCCAAGTCTTGGATAAAAACATGCTCTACCACTGCCCACTGGTTTATTCTGTGACTTACCCAAAATAAATAATGTAAACCAAATGATACATTCAAACTGTTGGTATACTATTATCTCTTAATATAAGTTTTAATTTTTTTTTTTTTTTTTTTTTTGATGTTGAAGACAGGGTTTCTCTATGTAGCCCTGAATGTCTTGGAACTTACTGTATATATCAGGCTGGCCTCACACTCACAAGATCCAGCTGTGTCTGTCCCTGGGTTCTGGGATTAAAGGCATGCACCACCATGCCTGGCTTGCCCTTATATATATATTTTTTAAATATTTATTTATTATGTATACAATATTCTGTCTGTGTGTATGCCAGCAGACCAGAAGTGGGCCCCATTACAGATGGCAGTGAGCCACCATGTGGTTGCTGGGAATTGAACTCAGGACATTTGGAAGAGCAGGCAATGCTCTTAACCTCTGAGCCATCTCTCCAGCCCCCGCCCTTTTTTCTTCTTTCTTTCTTTCTTTCTTTCTTTCTTTCTTTCTTTCTTTCTTTCTTTTTTTTTTTTTTGTCTTGCACTTTCAGATAGTGTGTCTTCCAGATTTGCCCAGGATGGTCTGATAGTATATACCTGTGATACCAGCACTTGGAAAGCAGGTGGATCATGAATTTAAGGACAATGGGTTATATAGTGAGATATAATTAAAGGCATAGGGGGAGAAGAGATTTGAACATATAGCTCATTGGGTAGAGTACCTGCCTAACATGCATGAAGCCCCTGGTTTTATGTAAAACATCACATAAAAGCTGGTATGTTGGTATACACCTATAACCCCAGGACCTAGGAGGATGAAGGCAGAATTCTAGAAGTTCAAAGTCATTATCAGTTTATAGAGAGTTCAAGGTCAGCCATTTTTTGGTATTCGAGACAAGGTTTTCCTATGTAACAGTCCCCTTTGTAGACCAGGCTGGCCTCAAATTCACTGAGATCTGCCTGCCTCTGCCTCCCAAGTGCTGGGATTAAAGGTATGTGCCACTGCCTGGCAACAATGGTTAATTTCTTATTCCACTTGCCATTTTTAGATATAAAAGTATTAAAACCAGGTATGATGGTTTACACCTATAATTCCCTCATTTAGGCGACTGAGGAAGGAGGATTACCATAAATTACTCACCCTGAGCCAAAAACCAAACAAACAGAAGTTAGAAAATACTGAGCAAACAAGCCAGGCATGGTGGTGCACACCTTTAATTCCAACACTTGGGAGGCAGAGGCAGGCAGATATCTGAATTCGAGGCCAGCCTGGTCTACAAAGTTAGTACCAGTACAGTCAGGCTACACAGAGGAAACCCTGTCTCAAAAAAAAAAAAAAAAATCAACCAAACAAAAAAGACGAAAGAGAGAGAAAAAAAATCTTTGGTTTGCTTCCTGAGGTAATATGAGCAGTGGCAATGTTTGAAATGTTCCCAAGGCCTTGTTTGTTAGCTTGTCTGTGTTCCCTAGGATGAGAGGAGAGTAGTAATTGGATGTGCTTCTCTGAAGTCAGAGAGGAATTGACTGTTCCTTGTTTTCACTTCCAAGTTCTCATCAGCCTCTTTTCATTGTCATTGTGCTCCACAGACTTTCACTCCCCTGGTAGATAAGCTGGGTCTGGGCTCTGTGGTGCCGGTTGAATACCTTGTGGATCGAGAACTGCGTTTCATGTCAGATGCTAATGGGCTGCATCTATTCCAGGTATTTGCTCTATCTAATCTTGGGCTTATTAGTTACCTCCTTGTTAATTTCCTTGTTGATTCAAATCCTTTTAGCATTACCTTGCTTCCTGTAATAAATTTCTCTGTGCATTTGAAGTTTTCTAATTTCTTAAAAAATACATTTGGTGACTGATGCTTCTTTTCTCTTCTGTACTCCCGCCCCCTACTCTAAAGCCACCCAGGACTTCAAGAAAAATGGCTTCTCTGTGGTTAGAGAGAGGGCTCAGCAGTGTAAGAGCACTTGTTGCTCTTCCAGAGGACTTGAATTTGGTTCCCTACACCTGTAACCTGAGGCTTACAACTGCCTGTAACTCCAACTGTAGGGGAAACCAATGCCCTCTTTTGTCTCCTGACACCTGCTCACATTACACACACACAAATAAATAAATAAATTGAAAGGGGGCTTCTCTAAGATGGCATTTGATATGACTTGTGTGGCTGGAACCTAGTGAGGTTTGTGTTTACCTTAGTGGCAGATGAGCAGAAATGAGTAACAGCTGGTTCCTAGCAGTATGAAATATGAAAGGATATACGCGCGTGCGCGCACACACACAGAGAAAAGTGAGTGTGAATAGTTTAAACAGACTATCATGTGAGTGGTAGTTTCATTAAGAAAGATACTACTGGTTGGAGGAACGGTTCAGAAGTTTCTGCCTGTGTTTATTTCTTTTTTTTTAATTTAATTTTGTTTTGTTTTGTTTTTATTGAGCTATGTATTTTTCTCGGCTCTCCTCCCTTCCTCCCACCTCCCCTTCTGCCTTCTCCCATGATCTCCACGCTCCCAGTTTACTCAGGAGATCTTGTCTTTTTCTACTTCCCATGTAGATTAGAAGGTTTTACTCTTTCATTGGGAGAGCTGAGACCAATATTTCCTAAACTACATTCTATGATGGCAGCTTCTTTGTTATTCTTCCTCCTCAGAGGTCATTCCCTTTCAGTATCCTTGCTTCATGCATCTTCATGCTCCTTGGGTTTGTGGGTGATGCAGGACTCTTTAGGGAAGGATTTTCTCATCTGTTAAGTTTTATTGCCTTTCATTTTAACATCAGTTGTTTCCTTTTACTTTGCCAGATGGGAACAGATGCTCAAAACCAGATTCTTTTAGAGCATGCTGCATTAAGAGAAACAGTTAATGCTTTGATCAGTGACAAAAAGCTACAAGAGATATTCAGCCGAGGTAAGAACAAGCAGTTTTCTGTCCTTGGACTCTAGGTCAGGTGGGCAGTCAGCCGTTGATGGAGAGAACGTCTGTAATTAGCTGAATTTCTAGAATAACTGAAAACAAACAAACAAAAAACAGCCTCTTACTCAGGCCATCATGTTTAGTGTACTAAACACATGTACTAAACAGTGTCACTTCCTACCATTGGGTAGAGAGTTCAATTTATAAAATTTCCATATTTTCCAATAATTCATAGTCCTGACAAACACAGCACCCCTAGATCTTCTTTCTGTATTTCAAAACACAAAGTTTTGATGTTTTCCACATAGTATGTTAACTGCATACTAAAGAAAGCATTAATGATAGAGACACCACCCTTAGAGAAAGCCTTCGCTGTTGTTCTAGTTATACTAACAACTTGCGCATTTCTCAAGAGCTAAAAGCTTGTTAACACCAACAAAGTATATGCATAAAGCCGTCCACTCATAGACTTGTCCACTAACAACAAAAGTAAAGGGGGAGATTGAGTCTAGTCAGTGGTAGAATGATTCTGTAAAATATGTAAATGCCTAGCTCCCATGTTTTCCCCATGAGCTGAACTCTCACCTGACAGTACTGACACAGACAGCAGACATTAGTGGTCGTTTATTGTACCTAGTAGCTTACATTTAGCCTAGTGACCTGGTTTGTTTTGTTTTGCTTTATAGCTTAGGCTAGCCTTTCAGAATTTTATGGTTGAGGGAAGAGATAAGAATAGATTAGGGGCTGGAGAGATGGCTCAGTGGTTGGGGGCATTGCCTGCTCTTCCAAAGGTCCTGAGTTCGAATCCCGGCAACCACGTGGTGGCTCACAGCCATCTGTGATGAGGTCTGGTGCCCACTTCTGGCCTGCAGGCATGCATGCAGACAGAATATTGTATACATAATAAATAAATAAATATTAAAAAAAGAATAGATTAGATAAAATAATAGATTAAAAAGATAGAATTGGGGACTTGGGAGATTCCTTAGAAATGAAAAGTTTATAAAATTCACTAGAAAAAAACATTGTTCATTTTTATTCTGCTGAGTATGAAAAAATGTTCCTTTCAACTCTGCACAGAAAATGCTAAGTGTTTACCTCATGTGCTTAGCCCAAGCATTCAGTTTTAATTGTTCTCTTCTCTAGGTCCCTATAGTGTTCAAGGTCACAGGGTCAAAATATACCAGCCAGAAGGAGAAGAAGTATGGCTATGTGGTGTTGTAAACCGGCAGGATACAATCACCCGTCTCATGGAAGTTTCTATAACTGAGGTGAGGCTCTTATTCTGTAAGAGGTACAGCCACTGCCTTAGTGTGGATGACAGCAAAAGTATTTCAGCATTGTAAGAAGACTGGCTTCTCCCTCTGCCTCTGCTTCTGAGTGAGCCTGAGGAAGGCTGCGTAACTGTTACCTCATTGTGAGTTAGAGGTAAACATGTAAAACCTCACTGACACCTTTAAGCCCAGGACTCTGGAGTCAGAGGCAGACAGATCTCTGTGAGTTCAAGGCCAGCCTGGTCTACAGAGCGAGTTCTGGGACAGCCAGAGCTGTTACACAGAGAAATCCTGTTTTTTTTTTTTTTTTAAATATTTATTTATTTATTATGTATACAATATTCTGTCTGTGTGTATGTCTGCAGGCCAGAAGAGGGCACCAGACCTCTTTACAGATGGTTGCGAGCCACCATGTGGTTGCTGGGAATTGAACTCAGGACCTTTGGAAGAACAGGCAATGCTCTTAACCTCTGAGCCATCTCTCCAGCCCCGAGAAATCCTGTTTTGAAAAACCAATAAATAAATAAGCCTGCTGACTTCATAGCATGGGAGTCTCTGACTGTTCTTGTAAACTGGGTGTGGCTGTATTTACGTGTTAGTTCTAGCACTCTGGAAGCCTTAATCCCATGGAAGAAGAGGAAAGACCATTACTGAAATTCTTTGGTCAAATTACACAGGCTTTATTTTCTGTCAGACAGGGCTGTCTCCCTCAACTGGAGTTTGAGAAAATAGCATTGAACATAGAAGAAGGTTAGATTTAAATAGCCCCCAAACTTCAAGGCTTCAGGATAAGGTTTGCAGGATTTCCAGAAGAATTTTGCTTGTATAGAGACTTAGTTAAACATTTCAAAATTATTTGGCAGAATATCTTATCAGGATATATTCAAAGGTGTTATCACAGTACATCAAAGTATGAGTCAAACTCCATAGTGTGGGAGAACATGTCAAGTTCCAGAAACGGGTTAAAGCACAGTCAAGCTTGAATTTTGCAGCAAACAGAAAAAAACTTGTTGTAATAATAAAGTTAGTTTTTTGTTTATATGCATAGGTGTGTGTGAGTATATGTGCTATATGCATAGTGTGCCCACAGAGGTCTGAAGAAAGTGGGATTTCCTTACATTGTTCCACACAGTTAATGATTTACCATGTGGGCACTGGGCAAACGTGATGCCAACCCAGGTCCTCTGCTCTAAAGCTGTCCTGTTTCTCTAGTCCCCACTAAAGACGATTCTTAAAAAACGTTCAGATTATATACATACATGTAAAGTACATAATGAAAACTGCCTCTTCCTCTAAGAAACTATTTATTACTCCCACAGTGGTGCCACTAGTGTGGTGTTTTCCATATTCTTTCTAATATTTTCTAAGTATGTATCTATAATATGTTTTTAGATATATGAAGTTTATACTTTAGTGATTGATATAATATGGTACATAGGCACAATTCATCTTTTGGATATAATTGTATATGCATGCTACACACACACATACACACACACACATATATATGTATTTGACTCATCCTTTAAAATATATGTTTAGTCTACGGGCAGTGATGGTGCATGCCCTGAATCCCAGCACTCAGGAGACAGAGGCAGGCAGATCTCAGTGAGTTCGAGGCCAGTCTGGTCTACAAGAGGACAGGCCCCAAAGCTACAGAGAAACCATGTCTCGAAAAAAACAACAAACAGAATATATATGTGGATATATCATAACTAAATAATTTTAAATTGGGGGACTTTGAAATCAGGCACGGTATTTTTACTAACACAGGTATTGGCTCAATTAGCACACTTATACATGATTTCACACATTTTTATTTATTAGATTGAACCCTTCATGAAAGTATGGAAAGGTGGTTCAGCAGTAAAGAGCGCCTGGGCCTGAGTTTGTTGCCTAGCACCCTCTCATAGCTGCCTATAACTCCACTTAAAAGGGTTCCCATACTCTCTTCTGACCATTTGTACTCATGTACAAACACACATACATAACTTGTAATTAAAAATAAGTCTGTTAAATACATTCCTAGCTGGGCGCTCCTGGCGCACACCTTTAATCCCAGCACTTGGGAGGCAGAGACAGGCAGATCTCTGAGTTCGAGGCCAGCCTGGTCTACTAGAGCTAGTTCCAGGACATGCTCTAAAGCTACAGAGAAACCCTGTCTCAAAAAAACGGGGCTGGAGAGATGGCTCAGCGGTTAAGGACATTGCCTGCTCTTCCAAAGGTCCTGAGTTCAATTCCCGGCAACTACATGGTGGCTCACAACCATCTGTAATGAGGTCTGGTGCCCTCTTCTGACTTAGAGGCATACACACAGATAGAATATTATATACATAATAAATAAATTTAAAAAATCCTTTAAAAAAAAAACTGGGGCTGGATGGTACAGAGGTACTGACTGCCCTTCCTGAGGTCCTAAGTTCAATTCCCAGCAACCACAACCATCTGTAATGAGATCTAGTGCCCTCTTCTGGCCTGCAGGCATACATGGAGGCTGAACACTGTGTACTAAATAAATAAATAAATAAATAAATAAATAAATAAATCTTTTAAAAAAGAAAGAAAAAAAGAAAATAAATTCCTTTGTGTCTAATTGCTAGAAATAGATTAAACTTGTACTTTATCACATTGTCCCCATTCCTACAGGTTTTATTTTTTTCTTTAATAGTTGAGTGCCTCTTTTAATGATTGTTGGCTTAGATACAGAAATTTAAATGAATATGCTAAGACAATATTTGATCATAGACATTATTACATCAAAGACATACTTAGATCTTGAACTCGCTCAGTTCTTTAATTTGTTAGCTTAATATATCAATCCTTACCATATTCTAGATGTTATTTACAATACTGTTACTAGGAAAACTTCTTAGGAAGTTTACTTTTGTAGGGAAGTAAAATTAAATAGATACCTATATTGTTGATGAAAATGTATATTACATTTTGGTTGTCAAGGTATTAACTCTCTTTTCTCTTTTTTGATGGGTTCTGCTTTCCTGCTCTATAGACTGGTGAGATGAAGTCAGTAGACCCCAGACTTATCCATGTGATGCTGATGGACAATTCAACACCACAGAGTGAGGTACAGTAATAGTCTAAGTAGATTTGTAAGTTTGCGTTACTCTGCTATGTGGATCCCTTGAATACATATTTTCCATGGATTCCCTTGAGTTGCTTGGCTCTGGCTATTCTTTTTTGATTTCTTCCTGATTTGTCTAGTTAAGAGAGAACAGCCTTAGGAAAAAGACCTAGTTTGAGCAAACCCTTTTTTTTTTTTTTTTGGTTTTTCGAGACAGGGTTTCTCTGTAGCTTTGGTGCCTGTCCTGGAACTAGCTCTTGTAGACCAGGCTGGCTTCCAACTCCCAGAGATCTGCCTGCCTCTGCCTCCCGAGTACTGGGATTAAAGGTGTGCGCCACCACCGCCCGGCTTGAGCAAACCCTTTTAATTAAAGCAATGTCCCCGTTGTAAAATTCATGGCCTCTTTCTTCTTATATTCTCCTAGGTCAAGTTAATAGATAGTTAAAACTGCAGTAAACAATAGCAATAATAATGACTTACCTAATAATAGGATATAAAGGAAAAGCTGTATCCTTCCTACCCCTAAATCAGGTCCCAGTGAGCTCCAAGGTAGACTGAAATTCTATATTTTGTAGTGAATTCAAATTAAACAAATGCCTAGTTCAGTGTTCCATACATAATGCCAACCTTTGGTTCATTAAAAATTATAATAAATAACAAAGCTATGTTAAAAATCTGCCTGAGGCAGAGGCAGGCGGATCTCTGTGAGTTCAAGACCAGCCTGGTCTACAAGAGCTAGTTCCAAAACCATAGAGAAACCCTGCCTTGAAAAACCAAAAAAAAAAAAAAAAAAATCTGCCTGAGCCAGCCATACCTGACAATGAATTCCAGCACATTGATGGTAAAGCAAGACTATCAGGAGTTCAAGGCCAGCCTGGTCTAATTGAGGCCCTGTCTCAAAAGACAAAACAAATGTCCACATTCATAGTCTTTAAAGTACTAATACCTCTGTAAATGTTCCTCTTTCATTCTTTTTTGACAAGTATGCGGTCCTTTTCCTGTTGAGATAGGATCTGTGTATGTCTGGTACTCACTGTGTAGACTGGGCTGGCCTGGAGATCCACCTGCTCTCCTCTCAAGTGTTGGGCCTAAAGGTGTGTGCCACCATGCACTGCTGTGCAGTCCTTGTTGAAATAAGAACAGAAGGAAAGGAAAGAACCAGATTAAATTTAATAGCTCTTTTTTTTTTAAAGATTTATTTATTTATTAAGCATCCAATGTACTGCTGGCAAGGAAGTCACCAGGTCTCATTACAGATGGTTGTGAGCCACCATGTGGTTGCTGGGAATTGAACTCAGGACCTCTGGAAGAGCAGCCAGTGCTCTTACCCTCTGAGCCATCTCTCCAGCCCCCTTAATAGCTCTTTAGTTACATTATCATAAATAGGATAAGCCCTTACTGTATGTGCATGGCTGCAAATACCTCTTATTTTGATGATGTATTGATCTCTACTTTTGTTTCTTTGTGTTTCATTTGTTTGCTTAAGTACTTATTAATATATAAATGGTACTGCTCAGTTGGTTAGATAAAGCTGGAGAGCCTGCATAGGTCTCACTCCCTATGCTCTCTGCTCACATCTGAGCAACTCAGCATAATAGGACCCACGCTGGTTCTTTAGAGACAGGTGGAGACTGCTCTGAGCCAGGGCTGCAGTTTGGCCATGAGTTAGAAACTGAATCTGTGTTTTTTAGCTGAAGATATTGGCTCTTTCCTTTTTGGCTTTGTCATGGTATGACTATATTCTTTACTAACAAAATACAATTATTATCGACACTGTTCTAAGCTTTATAATAACCTTTTAGACCTCCACGATCAATCCCCTCATCTATGTTAAGTGTGAGGATGAATAAATGAACTATCTCAGTAAATATGCTTCTGCTGTTAGACTGAAAACTTGCCAAATGGGTAGTTTTAAATGAGGATGAAATAAAAACTATGCTCAACAAAGTGCTTTCAATTCTTGAATAAAAGTATGGGAAACTTAGATAATATTACCAGAAATATGATAGATACTTAGTCATAGTGAGCATGTTATTATTTATTCAGACCTGTTAATTATCTCTGGAAACTTGGGTAATAGTGCCAGAAGTATGGAGAAATGAAAGTAAATCTTGTGGTTTTTGGTTTGGTTTTTGAATTTTACAGGAGATACTGGAAATGTGGCTTACAGGTTGTAAAGTTCCTAGGCTCAGTTCCAGCATTGACCTGCTGTCCCATAATCTCCTATAACTTTAGTTCCAGGCATCAGATGCCCCCTTCTGGCCTCCAAAGGCATGTGTATGCACATGGCCTATGTACATACACTCAGGCATACATACATACATAAAATAAATCAATCTTTTGAAAAATGAATTTTATAAGAAAATTAAGGGAGAAAAATGAAGGCAGCAAAAAAAAAAAGAAAGTAAAAAATACATAAATTGGCAAGAAGAAAAAAAAATTTTAAAAGACCAGGTTTTTCTATATAGCTGTGACTATCCTGTAACTCACTGTCTAGAGCAGGGTGACCTCAAACTCAGAGCTTTGCCTGCCTCTACTGGAACTAAAGGCATGCACCACTCCACCCAGCTCCAACGAAAATTTAAAGCTTTTACAAAGTTGGTGGTAGTACAGGCCTTCAATCACAGCAAGTGGGAGGGAAAGGTAGGTAAATTCAAGGCCAGCCTGGTCTACAGAGCAAGTTCCTGGACAGGCTCCAAAGCTACACAGAGAAACCCTGTCACAAAAAAAAACAAAGAAATTGACATACCAGATATAGTGATCCCAGTAAAGATATGACTCTATAAGTATTGAGGGTAGTGGGGCAGATTTATTAAATGGTAAATATTCACTGCTACACAGAACTAGCTTATTACCCCTCTATACTCTTCAGTGCTTCTGAACCAGCCTAAAACCTGCTTCTCAGGAAAGGATGAGAACTGTCCCTTCTAATCCCCATCATCTTAGGTATCTGTCCTCAAAGACGTCACAAGATTGGTAGTGTGAGATACTTGGAAAAAAAAAAGATTTGCGGTTTGCTCTGTTTTTTTTTTTTTTTTCCCAGTTCCCTGACTAAAGGTTTGGAGAAAGGTCTGGAAATCAGTGGAGTCTAACAGTGTCTGTGTGTAGTTCAAAATGTCAGGTTTACTTTTCCTTTGCTTAGGATTCACATATTTTGGGCTGAGTTATTTCTAAATAGTGGAGTTTTTATATTTCAGTATTTGAAATGCAAGCCTATCAAAAACAGAATAGGTGCACATGTAATCCCAACGCTGGTGGGGCAGAAGCAGAAGCTCTGAGTCTGAGGCTCAGACATGTCAGTGTGACATGTAAGCTCACCCTTTCAAAATAAATCCAAAAACATAAATATATTTTTTAACTTTTTTAAAAAAAGTATTCATTTTATGTGTATGGGTGTTTTTGCCTGTATGTATGCCTGTGCATCTTCTGAGCATGCCTGGTGCCCTCAAATGTCAGAGTTCCTCAGATTCTTTGGAAGTGAAATTACACAGGTGGTTGAAAGCTTTCATGTGGGTCCTGGGAGTCAACTCCAAGTCCTCTAGACGAGCAGCTAGTGCTCTTAACCACCTGTGTAATTTCTCCAGCCACCACCACTACCACCATCCTGACCATTTGTTTTTTTGGCAGGGCAGGGGCATGAGGCAGGGTTTCTGTATGTAACAGCTCTGTTTTTCCACCTGCCTCTGCCTCCTTGGTGCTGGGGGATTAAAGGCCTGTGCCACCACCACCTGGCTGAAATTTTTTTTGAAGGGATTCTAAAGAGGTGATTCAGCAGTTAAAAGTACTGGCGGCTGCTCTTTAGAGAGCTGGTATTTAGCATCTAGAACCCATATCAGGCAGTTTAAAACTGCCTGTAACACCAGCCCCAGGGGATCCTACTTCCACCTCTGGCCTCTGAGTACACACATGGAAGACACATGACACATACATACACATACATGAAAATTAAAAAACCCAGGGAGATAAATGTGCAAACATTATTTCATTATTGGGCAAATAATGCTCCTAACCTAGCTCTGACAATTGGGCTTGTAGCAGAAATTCCACAAATTGTTGAAATGCTCAAAAAAAAAAAAATCTCTGTGAAGTAGTATATTTTACCTGCAAGCTTTTGCCAAGGAAGTTAACCTCTAGTAACTACTATCTTGAATGTGTGTATCTATAAAGTGAGCCACCAGAGGACTGGAATTTTCTGAATGTTTAGAGCTGGCATCAGGACTGTGCCTTCTTTATCTGCTTTTAGGGATGGGAACGCACTAATGGCTAATGGTTTTCACAGAATGAAAGATCCCTTACAATAAACCTTTTTTGAATTTTGTTTTGTAGGGGGGTACCATAAAAGCAGTAAAATCTTCCAAAGGAAAGAAGAAGAGAGAGAGCATAGAGGGGAGAGATGGCCGGAGGAGGAAAAGTGCTTCGGACTCTGGGTGTGACCCTGCTACAAAGAAATTAAAAGGAGACAGGGGTGAAGTAGACAGTAATGGGAGTGATGGAGGTGAGGCAAGCCGAGGGCCCTGGAAAGGAGGTAATGCCAGTGGAGAGCCAGGGCTGGAGCAAAGAGCCAAGCAGCCACCGTCTACATTTGTTCCCCAGATTAACCGCAACATTCGCTTTGCCACTTACACCAAAGAAAACGGCAGGACTCTGGTGGTGCAGGATGAACCTGTAGGTGGGGACATACCTGTACCATTCACTCCATATTCTTCAGCCACAGGTCAGACACCTATGGCCCCAGAGGTAGGTGGAGCTGAAAACAAAGAGGCAGGAAAAACACTGGAACAAGTTAGCCAGGGCATGGTGGCTTCAGCAGCTGTAGTCACCACCACCAGCTCCACCCCAACTACGGTGAGGATCTCAGACACTGGCCTTGCATCAGGGACTGGGCCGGAAAAACAGAAAGGCAGCTGGTCGCAGGCCTCAGGAGAGGTGAGTGCTTCAGGGCAGACTTGGCAGACTTGCATTAACTCTTCCACCCTCCTTCATTGCTAATACATTGAAAAGCATCTCTAACGCCCCAAGGAAGGAAGATTTCTGATATGGACTTAAATTGTACTCTGCTTATTTGGCAAATATGTATTTTTTAAATAACTTTATCAGCTCTTAAAAGTCACCAGAAGACAATTAGAAACCAGAAGACAATTCAATTGAATGAGATGTGGAAAAGATCATTTGTGGGAATCTTTTTCTTTCAGTTATCTGTTGAGTTCACATAGCAGCTGAGCCTTTACTAGGACTCTGAGAGGCAAAGTTCATGAATTCCAGTGTTGATGATAGTGAACACCATAATGAAGGGTGTGTGTGTCCATGCTGCCGTTACGCTGTTTTCAGTTCTTCATTTCTGTGATATTTTTTCTTGTGGGCAGCCTGCTTGCTGTTATTTGATATGGCCATAAATTTTTGTCTTGTTAATCTTATCCTCTTAAAGAGCACTACTGTAAAATCTGATGGCTTTAGTCACAGTGGTATCCACTTTACTATGTGTTTTATATATATGTATATATAATCAATTATATCAATATAAGCTAAAATGGACAATATAAAAATTAGTTTTATATGGTCTTTGACTAAATTTGGTCACCAAAGTATAATTTATGGTGTTAGCATTTTTCTTTCAAGCAGGCTGTTAACTCATACTAGAATATAAAATCCTTGACTTTTAAAAAATATAAAAGAAAAAAATATAAAAGTTGGGAACTAGAGAAATGGCTCAGCAGTTGAGAGTACTGGCTGTTCTTGCAGAGGACCTGGCTTCGGTCCCCAGGACCCACAGAATGGATGTGGTACACTGACATACATGCAGGCAAAACACTCAGACATAAAAATGTGTCTTAAAAAAAGAAATAAAATAAATAAAATAAAAGTTGGATATGCTGTAGTCTCTGTCACTAATGAAACTAAGGCTAAGGGGTTCATTTGAACCAGGAGTTTAAGGCAGTTAGCCTGGGCAATATAAAACTTTGTTACAAAAGTAAAAGAAAACCCAAACAAAAAACTTTATATGGGAAACTACTGTGTGCTAAATACTGTATATTATATATGAAAAACAGGCGTGGAGGTTTATGAGTACCTATAGTCACAGCACTCTGGAGGAAGCAAGAAGGGCAGAAAGTTCAAGTTTATTCTCAGCTACTTAAAGAGTTTGAGGCCAATCTGGGCTACTTACAACCCTTTCTAAAAAGAAAAATCCTTATTTGGAGGAGCTCCCCTACTAAATAAAATGGAATCATTTCAAGTATAGGAATGCCAGATAAGAATGGCATTTGGTTGAGGGTGTAGCTCAGTGGCAGAGCTCTTGATTATTCTTTGTAAGGGCCAGGTTTCTAACACTACAAAACAGCCACAACAAAACCTATGGCTTACTGATTTCATTTTTCTTCCCTGTCCTAGCAAGTGCAGTGTTTCAAAGCTTTAGTGTTCAGGGATAGGGAGGGAGATGAAAAGTTCAGACAGAAGACAAGACCTGTAAATGTAGTGCTGTTTATGGTTGTCTTGTTAATTAGCCAGTGTTAGCAAAAGAACAAGCAGCTCTTACGTGGATTTCTAGTGCAGATAAGTCGGTGTAGTGCCTCAGTGTTTAAAATCAACACTGCATCAAAGTTAGTATGAGTGTAAATGGTTTATAAAACAAAACAAATTTTATGTGCTATAATATGTTTTTATTCTTGAAGTTGAAAAGCTGAATAAATGTAAGTAATGTAGGTTCAATGGGTTGGAGAGTTCGGGATATGGTTCATTGGTAGAACACTTGCCTGATGTGCTCACAATTCTAGTAGTTTCAGTCCCTAGTCATCCCTACTCCTCATCCCACCTCACAAAAAATTAAAATACCTTGGAGAAATTTCTGGACTATCAAGCATTTTATTAATGTTTCAGCCTGCCTTTTAAAATCAAAGTATAGCCATAAATGTTTCCATTACATATTTGATCTGAAATACAGAAACAGAATAGCCACCAAGAAATTTCTTCTAAAAACTGAGTTGCACTAGTTTTCATCCCTTTCTTATAAGAAAAGGATTTGGGCCGTGCAGTGGTGGCGCACGCCTTTAATCCCAGCAGAGGCAGGCAGATCTCTGTGAGTTCAAGAGCTAGTTCCAGGACAGGCTACAAAGAAACCCGGTCATGAAAAAACCAAAAAAAGAAAAAAAGAAAAGAAAAGGATTTGGAATTTGAAGGAAAGAGCAACCAAATTACTATCGCCCATGTGCTATTTGCTTTAGTAATGAAGTATGAGCTACTTAGAGTTCCTTAGAGTCTTGCAGGTATCGGGCTTCTGGCCAGATGCAGCTCGTAAAACAGCTGGAGAGCTTCAGTACTGTCAGCCTTGTTCTCTTTCATGAATGTAGGGTGTGTTAGTACTTGTGTGGTTAGTGGGAAGAAAGCGAACTTAACTCTAAAATGTCCCAAAACAGTCTTGGTAGCAAATATCAGCTGGAGCTAAGCTGCCAGTATTTTAGGCTTCTTTGCCACTCTAAAAAAAAATTTACCATTATAATCATTAAAATGTATAGTTCTGTGGTGTTTAGTACACTCACAGTGTTATAAAGCTGGAACCATTACTAGTTTCCAAGATTTTTCTCACTCCAAACAGATACAATAAAGTGAATTTTTAGGTATATCATTCTTTTTTTAATAGTACATGATTTTCAAGTGAGGTGCTAGGATCTAAGTATTACAGAATTAAACCAATAATAAGAAAGGGCTCCTATGAATATGTCTGTTTATGTATGTTAGGTCTAGGTGCCTAATGCACATGAAAGTGTCCTACAGCCATTCACATATGTAAGTTAAGCATTTTCAAAGTAAAGGAAGAAGTGTCGAAATATTTCTTTCATTGTTATCCTAAATGTTTGTATTTAGCATATATTTCAATGTACACATTTTCATTTTGGGAGTCTTATTAGAACCTAATTATTGCAAAAGGTCTCAGTAAATTGCCTCATGTAAATTAGTGTTAGTCGAAGCATCTATTCAGTTTCAGTTGACGTGAGCAGAGCATGTGGTGCACATATCAAATACCAGCACTAGAAAGGCAGGCAAAGCGGGAGGTCTGAGTTCAAGGCTACATAGACCACATCTCAAAAAAAATTCATCAAGTTGACATGAACCTATAAGTAGGTGGCTGATTTCCAAAAAGATCCATTTTATGAAATTTCAAATTCATAAAGTTCTTTTCTTTAATAAAAAAGAGTTGTATAAATAAAGGGAGTTGTAATGTGGGCTCTTTACAATAGCTTAAGTAAATAAAACTATTGAGGGCTATATAGCTTATTGGTAAAGTGCTTGCCTAGCATACACAAAATCCTGGGTTCAGTCCCCACTACCTCAAAGCAGGCATGTTGACACACACTTATCCTGTATCCTCAGCATTTGGTAAGTAGAGGCAGAAAGAGCAAAAGTTAAAGGTCATTCTGGAAGATATAGGGAGTTTGAGGCATTTAGGAAGTAGATTGATGTTACAAAGGTCTTTAGTTACATAACAAAGTGAGAATTGACTGTTCAGGAACCCTTTCTTTCCTCCAGCTCCTTAATGGAGTTTCTTTCCAACTATAGTATATACTAAGATTCATACACCTAGCATCTTAGCATCGTACTGGTACTGCCTTTCAGCTAGATAATGACCAGTTGGGTAGCAGATTGGATGACATCATGCCATCTCTGGCTCACCTTGCTAAAGTAAAGATGACTTCTATACTGTGGACCGTTTCCTCCCTACCAGTACTGGTGAAATCCAGTTATAAGAACAGATTCATGAAATCTAAGAGAGAAGTTGATTGGCTTACAGAAATGTTGCTTTAGTGATAGCTCTGAGAAAGAAAGATCAGTAGGTTGTAGCCAACATCACTAACTAAAACTAAAATTTTCCTTCCAGAATTCAAGAAATTCTAGTCTGGCCTCTTCTGGATTTGGAGTGTCTCTGTCAAGTTTGTCACAACCATTGACTTTTGGAAGTGGAAGGAGCCAGTCCAATGGAGTTTTAGCAACAGAAAACAAGCCTTTGGGCTTCTCTTTCAGCTCTAGCTCTGCACCAGAGTCTCAGAAGGACTCGGATCTCTCCAAGAACTTGTTTTTTCAATGCATGTCCCAAAATTTACCCAGCAGTAACTACTTCACCACGGTTTCAGAGAGTATGGCTGATGATTCCTCTAGCAGGGACTCATTCAAACAAAGCCTTGAGAGCCTGAGCGCAGGCCTGTGTAAAGGCAGATCTTCTCTTGGGACAGATGCTAAGCCAGGTCCCAAGACTGGCGGCTCTGTGGACCGAAAAGTGCCTGCAGAGTCTATGCCCACCCTTACTCCAGCCTTCCCACGGAGTCTCTTAAACACCCGCACCCCAGAGAGTCATGAAAATCTATTTTTACAGCCCCCCAAACTATCCCGCGAAGAGCCTTCTAACCCCTTCCTGGCGTTTGTGGAGAAAGTCGAACACAGCCCTTTCAGCAGCTTTGCGTCTCAGGCATCAGGTAGCTCTTCCTCTGCCAACACTGTCACCTCAAAGGCAACACCCAGCTGGCCCGAGTCTCATGCCTCTGCAGATTCTGCATCCTTAGCAAAGAAAAAAACCCTCTTTATTACAACTGACTCCTCAAAGCTGGTGTCTGGTGTTCTGGGCTCAGCTCTCAGCACTGGGGGCCCAAGCCTCTCTGCCATGGGGAATGGCCGTTCCAGCTCACCCACCAGCAGCCTCACCCAACCCATTGAGATGCCTACTCTCTCCTCCAGCCCCACAGAAGAGAGGCCAACTGTGGGGCCTGGCCAGCAGGACAATCCTCTTCTCAAAACCTTCAGTAACGTCTTTGGCAGGCACTCAAGCAGCTTTCTGTCCTCCCCAGCAGAGTTTTCACAGGAGAACAAAGCTCCTTTTGAAGCCGTAAGAAGGTTCTCATTGGATGAACGAAGCTTGGCTTGCAGACAGGACTCCGACTCCAGCACCAACAGTGACCTGTCCGATCTTAGCGATTCGGAGGAGCAGCTGCAGGCCAAGAGTGGCCTGAAGGGGATTCCAGAGCACCTGATGGGGAAGCTAGGTCCCAACGGGGAGCGCAGTGCTGAGCTGCTGCTGGGCAAGGGCAAAGGGAAGCAGGCCTCAAAGGGCCGGCCTCGGACTGCTCCCTTGAAAGGTGATCCTGCTGGGACCATAGCTGGGCTTTGCTCTAACACTAATATCAAATGATGTGATGGAACGTTCTTAATCTCATAGTATTACAAAGCCAAAAGGGCTTGACAGAGTCCTCTTGCCAAACCTGGTTCAGGGCAGCATTATTTTCGTGTTGTTACTATAAGGATTTTCTGGGCACAAAATTCTTGATCTTGTCAGTCTTTTTTGTTGTTGTTGTTTTTAATGAGGAACTAAGTTTCTGTGTATATCCCATTCCGTTTGACTTCACTTTAGACCAGCTTTAAATTTACTTCAGGGAGATCCGAAAAGATAGTCACTGTTCTCATAGAAATCCTTTGTAGGTTTGATGAAGCAAAAAGATTCACAGCCTCAGTTTGTTCCTCCTTTAAGACATTTAACACCTACCAGAGGCCAGTCACTACAACAGGATATTGCTGAGAGTCTAGTAATAAAAGCAGCTCTTTCCTTCGGGGACTGACAGACTCTGGGAGCCCAAGATACAGCTGAATCCTGAAGAACCAGCTTCAGGTAGTGGCTGTCTCCTCTTTCCCTGTGGGGTTTTTCACCCCTAGACCAGTGTTCTCACTTCTCTGAGTTACTTGATACAAATTCTCCATGGCTTAATTCCCAACTGAGGCCTTTTTGCTTCCTGCACTCTTTCTGGTTATATTCCTAAAGAATACAAAGTGAAATAGCTCAGGTCAAGATATTTGTCTTGTCTCTAAGAGGATCTTGTCATTGGACCCTATTTACACCTCTATGAACGTCTTTCCTCCTTCCTTGCAGTCGGCCAGTCAGTGCTGAAAGACGTGAGCAAAGTGAAGAAGCTGAAGCAGTCTGGAGAGCCCTTCCTGCAGGACGGCTCCTGCATCAACGTGGCACCCCACCTGCACAAGTGTCGGGAGTGCCGCCTGGAGAGGTATCGCAAGTTCAAGGAACAGGAGCAAGATGACTCCACTGTAGCCTGCCGCTTCTTCCACTTCCGGAGGTACCAGGCTCCTTTGTCTGACTGAATTCCCAGTTTTCATTAGTTTTGAATGACTCCCACCCTCTCTTCCTCAGGAGCCACAAAGGTGTCTTTCCATCTTTCTCTTTCCTTAACCTTTGTCCTTGGAGTCTGTGTTGAGGCTCTGTTGCATTAGAAATGACGTGATGTTGCCCTTAGAGAATGGAAGGGGAACAGCTGTAGCCCTGTGCTAGTCCCTGACTTATTCTCAAACCGGCAGGACTCAGTTTATATTACAGGTCCGCCTGACCGCCTCTCCTTCTTTAGTGCTAGAGTAACCTGAGAGGTGGGTGTGAGATTAGGAGATAGTGTGAGGCCTTTTTTTTGTCCTTTGTTTTTTCTTTTGGATTGGTTTGGGGACATGGTCTTACTTGAGGTGTCAGTGTGGCCTTGAACTAGTGGAATCACTCTGCCCTCAGCCATCCAAGTGCTGGAATTACATCCTGTCTGCCACCACACTAGACTAAGAATCTCTACTTACTGAGTAAAGAAATCCATTTCTTAGCCTTTTTTGACTAAGATCAAGCAAAGAAATCCAGATTGTTTATTGGTCTGGCCTGAATTCCTTTATTTGGCAAATATTTATTGGGTCTTTTTTTTTGTTTTGTTTTGTTTTTAGAGAAAGGGTTTCTCTGTGGCTTTGGAGCCTGTCCTGGAACTAGCTCTGTAGACCAGGCTGGCCTCGAACTCACAGAGATCCACCTACCTCTGCCTCCTAATCCTCTGCTGGGATTAAAGGCGTGCTCCACCACCGCCCTGCTTATTGGGCCATTATTGTGTCAACCATTTTATCCCCCTGTGCATTCAGAAGCCAAGAAAACACAAAATTTCAGTTCTTGTGGTTTGGACAAGAGGAAAAAGTTCAAAAACAAAACATGTCCAGGGGCTAGAACAGTGGCTCTTTAGCTCTTTTTAGTTCCCAACACCCTTGTGAGGCGCCTCATAGCTCTACCTCCAACTGCAGGGGCCTGCACACACACACATATGCTTAAACTTAAAGTGAAAATAAATCTTGACCTGAAGAGGGGGCTTAGTGGTTAAGGTCCAGGCTGCTCTTCCGGAGGACCCAGGTGTAATTCCCAGAACCCACATAGCAGCTCACAGTTGTCTGTAACTCAAGTTCCAGAGGATTCAATACTCCCCCAATACATCCAGGCAAAACACCAATGCATATAAAATAAAAATAATTACTTTGTCTTTTTCAAGGTAGGGTTTTTCTTTGTGTAGCCCTAACTGTCCTGGAACTTGCTGTATGGACCAGGCTGGTCTTGAACTCAGAGATCTTTCTGCCTCTGCCTCACAAGTGTTGGGATTAAAGTCATGCTCCACCACCGTCTGGAGAAAATAAATCTTTAAAAATATGTTATATGTACAAAAAGAAGTCTGTCGTCTGAGTACTAAAACCAATGTGAAAAGATAGTTGATATTTTGGGGGAGGCTGGAGAGACTTGTTTGTTTGTTTGAGACAGGATCTTACTATGAGTCCTGACTGGTCCTGAACTCTTTGTGAGCCAGGCTGGAATGGTGCACCTTTAATACCAGCACTGAGTTCAAGGCCAGCCTAGTCTACAGAATGGGTTCCAGGACAACCAGGACTTTACAGAGAAACCCTGTCTCAAGAAAAAGATGTACACCACCATTCTAGCGTGAGAGACAATGTGAAAGCAAGTTCATTCTGGAGGTTGCACCGTTGCTGGTAGAACTAGGGAGGAGGATAGACTAGGATGAGCAAAGGGAGAACTCATGCTGGGTCCATATTTTGTTTGTTGCTTGTTTGTTTTGAGATTGGTTATCATGTGCCCCGGGATAGTCTTGAACTCCCTGTGAAGGTGAGGATGAACTGAAGCTCTGATGTTGCTGCCTCTGCCTCCTAAGTGCTAGGGATAGAGATATGTCACACCATCCTTTTATTGGTGCTGATGAACCCAGGACCTTCTGCAAGTTAGGTAGGCACTCTTCTAACTAAGCTAAAACTGATGGGTCCATATTTTAAAGGACTGTGCCAGGAGCCTTGGCTTTTATGCTGGTAAGTGCTTGAAGATCTGTTGATACATGTTTGTAATCCCAACACTGTGGAGGCAGAGGTAAGAAAATCAAGAGTTTGAAGCTTGCATTGATTATGTAGTATATTTGAGATGAGCCTGAACTACATGAGGCCCTGTCTCGAAAGAGAGAAAGGATTAGTAGAGAAATTCTACTGAGTTGGAGAAAAGGATAGGATATACTTAGAAATACTGACCTTGATTGAGAATTTATTTCAAATGGCTTATCAGATGAAGAACTTGGGTTTGTTTGCAGGAAGCTCTGGCAGCAAGGTGGTGAGAGGAACAAACAGACATTGTTCTCTGGTTTCTGTATGATGAGAGGTAAGGGAGAGGAGTGCATCAGTGAACAGCTATGACTGCTGGGCACTAAGGAGCCCATCTAAGGTCTAAGTGTGATGATGGAGTGGTCCCTGCTTTTCTCTATTTACATTTAGTGCCATGGATGTGGGTCTGGAACAGATGGATGGGAAAACTCATGACAACTCTAATGGGAGTTTTTTGGTTGGTTGGTTGGCTTTTTTTTTTTTTTGTTTTGTTTTGTTTTGTTTTTGGGTTTTCTGTTTAGTTTGGTTTGGTTGTTTTTCAAGACAGGGTTTTCTCTGTGTAACAGTCCTGGCTGTCCTGGAACTCCCTTTGTAGACCAGGCTGTCCTTGAACTCACTGAGATCCGCCTGCCTCTGCCTCCAGAGTGCTGGTATTAAATCACTGCCTGGCCTCATTGAAGCTTTTTAAAGAATGGAGATTTAGTAAGTGGTCTTCTAGCAAAGACCACATGTAGCTTGCCCTCTGTCTGTGGTGGTTACACGCAAAGAGATTGAAATCAGTTGATTGCAAACTTACTTAGGCATTTAACATATATGTTAGCTAAACCTGTAGAAACCTTTTCTCATCTTGCTTTTACATTTACCCCGCCAAAAAGGGGGCGGGGTAGTTGGAGAGATAACTCAGTGGTTAAGAGCACTGACTGCTCTTACTAGAGGACCCATGTTTGATTCTTAGCACATACATGATAGCTCACAACTATCTGTAACCCCAATCCCAGGGGATCCAATGCCTTTTCTGGCCTCTGTTTTTTTTTTTTTTTTTTTTTTTTTTTTT